ATATTGTTTTGTTAATTGATGTCAAATAGATGAATATAACTGGTGATTAAATAATGCATTATCCGAAATAATAAAACAATTCACCATAATAAATAACAAAACTGAGTAACTGAAGTGGATGATTTAAAATAAATCTCACATTTCACCTTTAAAATCAATACTCTTAGCCAGATGTTTCAAGTTCCTTAACTCAAACATTCATTGCTATGCCTGTGCAATGCATTTTCCCCACCCCCTCGTAAATCAAAGAGAAAAGGAAATCAGCTTGCCACTCCTTTAAGTTTGATTGATGGCAGCTTATCAGAAAAAGAAAATAAACACAGGAGAAAATAAAACATTTGTCCCTTCCCTGCCCCCTCTGGATCTAATGATCTTCAAGGTCAGGGGAAGAATTGAAGTTCCTCTGGGCAAGTGAGGAGAAGAATTCCCCCCTTTCCCTCTACTCAACTTTAAGGATGAGTCAAATTTCTGTTTTTTTTTTTTTTTATAATCCTTCTATACTTTAAAATAGCGGGAAAACCAAGCAAAATTCTTCCTGGTTTCCCGGTTATCTAGATACCGGATAAATGGTTCTCTACTGTACAATAAACATTAAATACATTTTAGGACAAAAATTCTTTCAATCAAATTATAAGAAAGTGACAAACTACATTATGAATAAAATTTAAAAGCTTTTAGGAGAAAAAAAAATTAATTTTTGTCGAACCATTAGGTCTCCTATAGCAGTAGCTTTACAATTAACAACTACTTTGTAAATAATTACAAGGCAAAATAGAATCCTTGGCAGGAATAAAAACAAAGATAAAATGCGCAATTGAGAAAAATCTGATGTAAGTTTTCGAAAAAATTAAAATTTAACTGCACACAGGTCTTTAATTGCACTAATAGTTTCAGAGGTCTGTTTTTCCAACAAATTAGATTTTTTAGAGTGAATTACATAATCTAAAATAACCCTTATAACTGTACTAATTTTAAGCTTATTAAAAGTTTAGTACACTGTCCCCCTAAAATATGATTGAAACAAAAGTCTATTAAGTCTAACATATAAGGCCAGGGCTCGAAATTAACGGTGGCCCGTTGGTCCGTGACCACTAAAATCGGAGTCGGACCAGCATAAAATAATAAACAGTGGTCTGCCGGACCACCATCAGCCGCAGCCGATCTCCGTTAAAGAAAAAAAAAAAGCTAGCATGCGAGATCTCCCTAAAAAAAAAAAAAAATAACAAAAAATTTTAAAAAAAATAAATAAAGCTAGTGTGCGATCCTGAGGAAGGCGAAGTTAAATCTTGTTTCGCACATGCGTTTATTTTTATTTTATCATATTGTTTATTTTTGTTACATTATGATTATGTACAGTTTAATAATTTTGTGATTACTTCAAAATTGAGTAAAAATCATAGTTCTTGATTGCTAAAATATTCTTTTCTAATTAATCTTAGTAAGTAGTATAATTAATCTTATTTCCTTCTTAAATTCTAAGTATATTTACGCAACTTGTGTATTTGAGTTACTTAAAACTATTTTAGAGCTTATTCAAAAAATTTTTTTAAAAATTTTTTATACAAAATTAATATTAATCAAAAAAATGCGATTTAAATCAAAAATTTATTATTTTTTTTAAAAAAATCATGATTTTTTTCAATCAAAATTTTTAATTTTTTATTTGCAGCTAATAGGAACACGTAGACGGACCAGTAAAGTTTTGTGCGGACTAGTAAAATGTTTTAGTTACTGGTCCTATGGACCAGTAATTTTTTTAAAAATTTCTACCCCTGTTTAAGGTATAGTTTAAAAAAAATAAAAGGATTCAAATACACAAAAATATATATATTTGAACTGCTTAAGTAAAAAAAAAAATTGTATCACAATTATATATTAATGATTACCTCGAAATCATTTTAAGCAGCGTACTTTTTCCAATACCATTTCGTCCAACCATACCATATCTTCTGCCATAAACTAAAGTAAGATCAGCACTAGTTAAAAGTGTCCTAAAATAAAAAAATAATAAATAAAATCGTTATCATTAGAAATCACAATTGGATAAATTAAATGTCAAAAATATGTCTGTTTGCAGAAATTCAATAAAGATTGCACATCAGATAAATTAGAAAAAAGAAGAGTCTTTAAAAAATTTTCATCACAAGACCTACTTGCTTCATGGGCATAAACAAACTTGTACAAACAAGTAAATAGAAAAGTTAAGTTCTTCAAATTGGTGGAAACCAGAAGATTATTGTTTATTTTCTAAGTGCTTTTTAATCAGTTTGAGATGATGAAAATTTAAATATAATGAAAGCATTCGGATTGAATATACACTTAAATGGTGCAACAGGGCGTGACTTTAATTGAGCCTATTTCAAGGTGAAATAATTGAGATAATAAACTTGTTCAAAACGATGTCTGATACAAATACAGAAGGTAGATGAAAACCGACAAAACAAACAAAAAAATAATAACATTATGATTGTAATCATTAGGACACCTCAGAATTCTCGAATCTGTACTTACTTGAAGACATACACGAAACAAAGTTTGCCAGCAAAAAGTAAAACACAATTAGGGAAAAGTTAAATAAATCTCAATATTTAATGAACAAAGTTACAAGTATAGTTTAAAAAATCAATATCAAAGATTTTTAAAAAAATTGAACAATTTAGACTTAATTTTAAAACAGTGATAATTTAACAGACAGATGAGAAAAAACTACCTTGATAAAAAAAAAAAATGCAATTTAACAATTCAATATTAGGAAACTGCCAATTCAAGTTAAAAAATATAATAATAAATGAAAATATAAAATAAAAATAGTTTACTTGTCCCCAAACGCAATGTCAAAATTTTCAATTTTGATGTCCATGCTCTTGTTTGTACCCTTTGACTCCATTCTGGATTCTCTTTTACTACTTGCTTGAACAGCTGATGCCTCTTTACTGCTGAACACAGTACTGCAAATTAAATATGAATACTGTAGAAAAATATCACAGCTACACGAAAATATATATTTATAAATATATTGAAAGAATTAGAAGTTTTATTTAAAAAGTGATAGTGCTCAGATATTTAGCCTTGTAATTGCCATTTAGAAAAAGTATGCGAAATGATAATACGAAATATAAATTTCCTCTAAAAAAAATTTAATTAATGAAAATACAAACAAATACATGTTCATATTGAATCTGAGTAAAAACTTCATATACATTTAATACATTTCATATACATTTAATCAATACATTTGATAAATTTTTTTTAATTCAAAAGTACGACTAGAAAGTATTGCATCATGATGACTTACATATGGATATTTTTCAAGGCTGATAGTAAGAAAGTTTTAGTCAAAATATTGAAATTAACAATTAGCGAAATTTAAATAACTTAATAGGTTTAAAGATATGAACAAGCTATTAAAGATGAATTTTTTTTTTTTTAAAAAAAGGAAAACATATTTTACATTTAAGATATTTGAATTTCAGAGAAATAATAATGATTAAAAAAAATATACCCAGTAGCAGGTTTTTCTGTATTATCCCTTCTCTCTTGTTTTGACTTCAATTTTGCCTCAGCTTTTTCGAGTTTTCGCTGATCAACACACTAAAAGAAATGATAAACATATAATAAATCAAATTTTATGATATGACCATGTTTGAAATCAAAGAAAAATAATAAACACTGCAAATTAGAAAAAAGTTATGAGGTTATTGCTGTCATTTTAGGAGACTTTCAGATTTTACACAATTCACATTTATTCTTCTCAGAACATAAAAACTATAAGATGAAAAAATATGAAATTTTATATATTATTGAGAAATGTTTATGGAACATTCTGATAAGAAAATCCTATTGTCGCTGTCATTTGTTTCTCAATTATTTTATCCAAAAAGTGAAGATTTTTTCTTCTTTTGAGCATGTAATTCAGTTTAGCAAATACTATTGCCTACAGAGTTAATATTTTTGCACCCACAGAAGATGAGTATGACATCTCACTTTGTTTTTTCAAATCAGTAATAGAGTACAGTATAGCACTGATTATCCTAACATGACAATAAAAATTTATTACAACGCGAGTAAAAAATATTTGCCAGTCTTCTATTTAACGGAGGACACGGTCGCCTGTTTCATGGAGGACACGGTCTTCTGTTTCATAGATGACGGTCTTTGCTTCATGGAGGATGGTCTTTGCTTCATGGAGGATGGTCTTTGCTTCATGGAGGATGGTCTCTGTTTCATAAAGGACAATCTTCTTTCAACAGTCATATTTCTTAATATTTTTAAATGTAGCAATTGAACAGAATCAGTGGAATCTTGCTGTTGAAGCTATTCCACCACAACTTCAAGGGCAATAAATGTTTCTGTGTTTGCTGGCATCCTAGATTCTTCTGATTTATCTGCTTCGTTGTCCTCACATTCCCAGGCATGTGATTGCTGGACAAAAAAATTATCTGAATTTTTTTAGAAACTCAGGGCTAGATATTTTCACTTTCAAACAAACAAAAAAAAAAACTTTTGCAACATGCAGTTTTTTTTTTAAAAAAATGTTTGTTTGTTTGTACAAAGAAGATAAATAATAGACTATAATTTTTACATACAAAAGTAGCATTTGTAAAATTTAAAGGGGGAAAGAAATTTTTTTTTTACGTAATAAATTATTTTCTCATCAACATATATAAGAAAAAATATTCTAGTATTACGAGAAATATATTCTAGCATTTAGAAAAAAAATAATACAGATATTTAAAAAATCTGAAATTTGTAGAAAAAAAACAGAACAAAGTTAATTATTACATTTAAAGTTAATTATAAAATTTGTACGTAAGTTTGAAATGTAATTCAGTTTTCAAAAAAAAAAAAATAATAATAATAATAAAATAAAATAACAGTTGAATAAAGATTTTTTGCAGCCATGTGCTCTATTTTCTGAAGAGGAACAATATGTCTTTACTTTGTTTCAATTTCTAATTAGTCTTTAAGCAATTAAATTTAAGAATTTTATTTTTTTTAACTAATGAATATCATTAGAGTCTAAAACAAAAACTTTTATTTTTGTAACTTTAGTGATAATCCATTCTAATATGGGCTCAACAAGTGAAATGTGTAGGCAAAGTGACGAGAAAAAAAAATTGATCAAGCAGTTTCTAAGGGTTGGCAAGAGTACTAGCGAGCCAACTAAAACTATGTACAAAGTAAATAATGGAACATTCTAACAATTGACAGAGGTATAATTTAAAAATAAGAGCAAAAATTTAAAAAATTCAAACTTTATAAAAACTAGTTTGATATTTAAACATGTTTAATGAGTAAGAAGTCAAAATAATAGCTAATATACTAAAAGATTTTAACATTTACATATTTTATTCAATTCAAATAGTTAATTACATAAGAAAATGTTAAGCATCATAATCTGGGAACAAAGATCAGCAAAATAGAAAGATAAGTATAAGAAATGAAAAAAATTTTTTTAACTGCAATTTGATAGACAAGAGGAAAAAAAATTTTTTTACCCAAAAATGTTAAGTACACTTTTTGTAGAAAAAAATTCAACAGCAAAGAAGCTGAATTTCTTTTTCACAAGATGACCAAAAGTTTGAAACAAGTTTGACAACTGGAACAATTGAACTTCACAATTTTTACTAGCATTATTAATTGAAATTTCTTAGAATCTATTATTTTAAGACCCACACTAATATTCATAGAAAATGGGATATTCTGAACATACTGAAAAATCAGGAACATCGGTACAAGGACAAAATATTTTGTACCATGAAAGTGAAGACAGCTACAAACCCTACATTATTTTATAAAAAGCAATAAAAATACAGTTAATTCAACTATAGTTAAAGATACATACTGATGGAGATTCTTTTTGTTTCAACCATATGCTGGTGACTTCTTCAGCTTCATCATCAAAATTTTCAGCCAGGCTTCCAAGACAAACAGGTGCACTCAGAATTTTGTTCTCATTGCAATTATTTTGAGCTTCTGGCTCACTATTAAAATAAATGTATATAAAATTAGAAACAACTTTTAATATATTGTCAATAAACAGAAACTAAATTTTGACTTGGATCTAATTAAAAAATGCATTGGATGAAAAATAACAAAATTTTAGATCAAAGTATTGAAACATCATAAGGATGTCAATTTTTATGCTTATTTTGAGATATTAATGCACAATTACACAAGAAGACTACTGAAAACACGTTAAAAAAATTTCTGAGAAATGACATGTCTTTATCAGCAGCAAACAATCTAATTTGTTATTTACATACATAAAAATTTATATATTATTGAAAATGCATTAAAAATTCAAAAGAAGCTTATCTCGACTAAAAGTTATTTTGTTTTCAAGGTATTTTTCCTCTTTCTTCCAGAATTACACTCCTGAACAATAATATTTAACTTTAAAATTTCCTATGAAAAAATCAAAGGCAAGAAAAAATGAGTAGTAGAAATGGGAATAATATCAATTACATATGATAGCACAGATTTTTTTTTTTTACAATAAGATTAAACTGATTTCTTGAGAAATATAAGTATTTATCTTGTGACCAATAAAATATAAACCAAGATGATTTGCAACAAATTTAGAAATCAGCAGAAGTTTCTAATCTAATACTCAAATGAAATTCCTTTTGTGTATTTTTATCTAAATATTTACGTACGATTGCCATAGGTTATCAAGTTATAAGAAGAATAGCAGAAATGCTTGAGAACTCTATTTTACTATCCGACAGAATTTTGGTAGAAAGTCTTAACTTTCGTCACACAAAAATTTTTGCTTCTATCAAGTTAATAAGTAATGCAGAATTAATTTTAATGGGAATAAAAAGAGCTGTTTTTCCTTGGAAAAATAATTACTTACCTAAAAACTCTACAAAAATACATTATTCTTAATCTAATTGATCACCCACATGACTATTTTTGTCTAGAATTGGTATCAAAATTAATGTTTTTAAATATAAGAACAAGTGGCATAGGATTAAGAGTTCTCAGATACATAGCATATGGTGCTCTCCGGGTGAAAAAATTCCTTTCTAAGAAAATTGCAACAAGAATTTAAACATTCTGTTAAACACAGCCATTATACATCATAAAAAAAAAAAAAAATTCCACTCCCTTTCAAAAGGTAAATCTTGAAAAGAAAAGTAAGATCATTTTTTGTATAAATTAATGCATTCAGATTTGATTGAACATAAAAATTTCATTAATCATAGTAAAATATTTACAGGAAGCATATTAGTTTAAATCTTATTATAGACTGCTCATTATTACTGAAAATTCTGAGAATGATTAGTTTCCTGGGCTTATTATAAAATTTTTTAAGGATTTAAAAAAAAAGTTCAAAGTTCCCAATTTTTTTTTGTTTTGTTGCCTAAATTGAATATTTTGACAATAACAAATTAACTCAATCGGGGGAGATTTCCATATCATGATCTGTGGCAGAATAATCGACAAGTCTTGACAATTTCCAAGCAGCAGCCCCGGAGAAACTAAAAATTAAACTTCGCAGAAAGGGACCAACTCAAAAGGTATAATTCGTAGCCACCCCGGGGCAAACATCTACGTTATTTTCAAAAAAAAATTGTAAGTTTAAAATCAGTCTGCCACCTTGACGATTGTAGTTATGTAGATAAGGAAATATCCCCCTGCTCTGATTCACAGGGTTATTAAATCTGGTAAACAGGGTAAAAATCTGGATTGCTAAAATTATTCAAAAGATTAAACTGGTAGTTTACTCAATACTTTTTACAACATAAGCTAGTCAGAGTCAATGCGACTTGACTATAGAACTGGAGAAAAACCAATTTGACTTAGGAATCTACAGCACTCTGAAAATAGTAAATTATAAATTTTTTAATAATACCTAGTTTTCTTCTTTCATGATTATTGAAAACAAACATCCTTATAAGTTTGGGTTCAATGACAGATCTTACCTTTTTAAAGCTCTTAAAAGTCTAGAGCAGATATCTTTAATTTCATTTTCATCTTTACTGTCCCCAGCAACTTCATGTAACATGTCACCAATAGCCTCATATACATGTTCAGACGATTCAAATTCACTTTTATTATCATCTAGTACTCCTGAAATACATAATTAAAAAAAAGCGAAAGTATTAAAAATCAAATATTACTTTACCTACACTTTAATTCAAAATCGACTTCCTGTACACATACTTTTTTTATAAATATGGTATAAAGATGATATAATAAAGTAACAAATAAAAATTTATTAAATTTTTCGAGCTAGTAATGAAGTTTAAAATAATTTATTTCCTAAAATAATAAGTAAGATTAATTTTAAATAAATTGAAAGATTACTTATTAAGCATTATGTTAGAACATTAGGTAAAAAAAGACACAAATAATCAACAATACATTATTTTTCATTTTAGGAATGAATTAATGCATCAAAATGAATGGTTACAAATTTTAAGAAAATAATTAGTAATTTAAATATTATATTGTAAGCGAGCATTATTTAAATAGTAAACAAACAAAATACCTTCAATATAATCAAATAATTCTTCATCTATACTAGGAAAAGCTGAAACTAAAATTGAAACCGTTTCTGTTTCTGCCATTAATATACAAAAATTATTCTTTAAATCAAATTAATAAGCTCATTAGTTTTTAAAATAAAAATGACTATTGCCCACGACTTGTGACAGACAGCAAAACTTGTAAAGAAAAGGATGTTGTTGCCATATGGTACTAATGTTGCCACTAATACAAAAATCAGATAAAATAATTTTTTAGAATTTTTTTCATTAAAAATTTAAAAAATCACAATCTTGCCAGGTTTTTTTTGCAAATATTTCATCTCAACCTAACAAAACCAACAACCAAACAAAAAGTAATTCATTAGAATGAAGGCTGTTGCTTGGCTGACCGCCTTTTTAATAAATAGAGGCATTTGATTGGTCGATTACATCATCGTTTTCATCGTTATTACTTAATCGTTTTGTCAGGTTTACTAGAATGGCGCTTTTAGCATTTTTGCTTGGCGAAATTTTAATAACGCGCATGCTCAGTTTGATAATTTATTTAAACCAATCGAAGTACTTTGTAGACAATGAATATAGATGCTTGTATCCTCTCCTTTGCTTGCGTATACTCAAACAAAGACATAAAGATGGAAAGATCAATCACTGTACCAAACAGATGTCAGGGTGAACGAAACATTGGACACATCACCGGTCTCTATTTTTTTTATTTGATTTTCATAAATTGTTATGATAAATAATAACATTCTGTCTCTGTGCCAGAAAAATCTGAACAAATTTTTTTTAAAGATTTATAATTTGTAANAGTTTGGCAATCACCCATTTCAGCTGATCGCCAAAGTCTAGGGTTATAAAATAGGCGGGCATTCAAGACAGTGCGTAGAAGGCATCATGGAATGAATGCTATTATTTTTGTTTAGAAATATTTGATTTTAAAGATGGCAGTAAGCAGTTGTGGAAATAGCGGTAGATTTTTTTGTTTTCAAAACATGGAAATCCATGTTTCAAAAGAACGAAAACTTGTCTTGTTAATTGATATCTGCCTGTGTCCTTGTGGTATTTTGTGTTTTTATATCTTCTGATAGAATGTTGAAAAGTGTAAAAAGTTCTGTTTTATAAATTTCTTAAATAATAAATATTTGAAAATGAATTCAGAAAAAAAATTTCTGGAGACATTAAAAACACTTGGCTTTCCGTATGTAAACAAATATTCGGCTGCTGATTTCGAGTCCAATTTTGCTGACCCCCAGTTGCGTCCGTTTTTAGAATATTTTTGTACTTTAGATGAAGATAATATTTTGACCTCAGAAGAATTAGATGAGTAAGTAATTGTCAGTTGTGCCATGTAATAATTAAATATTGCTTGAAATGTTATTACATAATGACAATCTTCATTTGATTGATGGTTGATTTGTAATTTGCACTTTTACTTCTAGATATGCTTCTATTACTCCTCAAGAAATGAAGGCATTGGAAGAATTAGCTGCTAATGAATCAGAGTACTTAAAAGAAGAAAAGAAAAATGAAAAAGAGTATTTTTTTAAAATTATTATTGGCAAAAGCAATTTTTTGCTTAATTATCAGAAAAAGTTCCGCATTGTTATCTGCACCAAAAAGTCCTAAAAAGAGTCTATAACAAGACAATAATTTCTCCTGGGCAAGCAGCTACATATTTTTATTTTTTTTAAAAAATTTTGTGAGTTAAAAGCCCTTTTAGCCAAAGTAGTTGACGCATAGGCTCCGATACAGAAATATCATTATTACTTCATTTAAATTAAACATAATTTTTAAAAAAAAATCAGGTTAGATACTTTATTTGTATTTTAAAAAAATTCTGGGTATTAAAAATTAAATATATTTAAAACTTTTTAGCCAAACTGATCTTTGAAGTATTTTATAATTTTTATGTCTTCTGATACAATGTGGAAAAGTTTAAGAAGTTCTTTTTTATAAATCTTTTAGATAATTAATATTTGAAAATGAATTCAGAAAAATAATTTCTAGAGACATTAAAAACACTTGGCTTTCCTTATGTAAACAAATATTCGGTTGCTGATTTCGAGTCCTATTTTGCTGACCCCCAGTTGCTTTCATTTTTAGAATACTTTTTAATATATAAAATTCATTTTCATTTATCATAAATATATTCATAATGAAAATTCATTTTCATTATAAATATATTTTTAGAATATAAACAAAATGAGGTTTAGATACTTTAATTTAAAAAAAATTCTGGGTATTAAAATTTAAATTTTTTATCCAAACTTATAACTGTACTGACATTTAGAAATTTTTTTTTAATTAGAGCTGATTCTTCAAATACAATCAATAATTTTGATTCTTTATTTGATTTTATATTTTTTAGAAATTCTGATTCATAATCTTTCTCTTCTAATATACCTTTTGACGTTATAACCTATTTTTAATATTTCTGATTCTACCTAATCACACACTGCAAAATTATTGAGTTACAGTAAAAGGAAGGGTTTCATTACCCAAACCTTGAAACATGAGACTTTGTTTTATGCTGAACTGACTGACTACCTGTTTTTTGTATGGGGGTTAAAAAACTAAACTATCAGTATATTAGTATTAAACATCATTTATAATAATGCACCAAATTGAAACTTAAGTATTAATAAAATGAATAAAACTAAAATAATAATTTATTTATTTATTATATTTTGTTCTTACTGATGGATTTATATTATTATAGTATTATGTAAAACATATTTTTAGTAGTTCATGCTGTTCATCCCATCAGAATAAAGATAGTGATTAATTGTATTCAACATCCATTTGGCATGATGCTGTTGCTTAATTTTAGCTGATGATAGTCCAAATTTACTAGAATCAAAGGGTTTTCTACTGTACTTATTTTTTTTTTTGGGGGGGGGGGGCTAAAAATGTTGAAGGTATAACTCCCTAGTGGTACTCTTTCATGCCATTTACAATCGCCAGGAGGTTAGTGCCACTGCAAGGTTTTTATTCACAGTGGCTTGCAAGTAGAGTTTGCTTCTTTTGCTTTTTTTACGGTCTTATGTACTTGTTTCTAACTATTGCCTTAAACTTGGAATAAAAAGAAATTCTGAGATATTTCCATATCCGATTACAGTTGCCAGGAAATTATTGCTGTTACAAAGTTCTTGCGTTTGGAAAAAATATTAGCAGTCAACTGGGAATAAGGGAAAGAAAATATTTAAAGTAGTTTGTCTAGGAATTGTTCTAAATTTTATCTCTCAAGTTTGTTGGGATATATTTTAGCTTTTCTGATATCACTGTCGAAATTAAAGAATAGTTTTAGTGTACATACTGATATATAAATCTTCCCAGATTTCCTTAACAAAACCTTAGTTAAAATTGTCGCTAAGTTTTTGAAACAGCTAGGCAGTGATAAACCAGAAATTAAAACACAGAAGTAGACTTGCCTAAATGGTCTGATTCAAACCCACCTTCTGACTAGCCTCTGTATTTATTTCATATAATGCAAGTACAAATGCAATTGTAATCGGTGTAAATGTGTCATTGGTGGTGTGTTTATGTACGTATAGATCTATGTGTGCATTTAAACTTTTAGTGTATTTTATTATACAGATATTGTTTTACAGTGTGATCTAAATTGAAGTGCTATTTGACTTATTTTGTCTTAAGGTTCAAAATTATAAGGCTGCAGAGTTGAACACAAACTCAAAAATGAATTGGCTGTCCAACCTCAGTTATATAATACAGGTTGCAATTAAGAACAGGTTTCAGGCAATTTAAATATAAATTATGGGTCATTTAGGGAAAAATTGGATCTGTTAATAGATCCTTGACAACAAATTTTTTTTGTTAAAATGGACACTTTACAATTTTTATTTTTATTTTGAAATGCATGGTTTTTGTGTTTTTTTCTTCACATTCTTCGCATTTTCACATCACATGAGTAGATTCTTCACATTTTCCACTAATGTGTATTCAGATCACTCGTGATTAAGATCCTTTAAAAAATTGTGCATAAAATTTTCACATTGTCACACCTTTCAAAAGAGGTTTCCAGTAATATCTGTGAGGGGAATATAACACTGTGGTTTACTTAAAATTGAATGTGTTAGCAATAGTTATATTCAAATCTGGATAACAATAAAGTGCCTTATCTATTTCAATTTGATTTTTTTTTATCATCATAAATAATTCTTATTTCTTTCAATTTTAGAGAACAAGCAGAGTTTTTAACAGAAAAACTGAGTCATTTGGAAAGAAAATATAATTCATTAGAAGAACAAAGAAAAATATTATTGTAATTATTAGAAATTTTTGTTGTGAAAAATGTTTTTCTCTTCTGAATGCATTTTTATATAATGATATAATGATACAAGGTGTAGGTATTCTTGCAATATTTACCATTTCATTTTCTAACCCCTCAATGGGTTTATTTTTTAGGGAGATAAATACAATTTTTTATGATTCCAAGATATCTCTATAATTGTTCTTCTTGTTATTTATGTAAAAATTTTTTTATAATTTTATTAAAAGGCAAACAAATGCTAAAATTTACTAACAAATGTTTCATCCTCATAGAGACCACTATAGTGATTTTAAGACAGTTTTTATTGATGAACACTTCAAGTGCCACAATCACTCCTGTCATTAGTATTTTACGCAATTATTTTCCAAAAGTTTGCATTCACTGATCTCTGTTTTTTCTTCTGAGGGCCATGCAATATTTTTAGTTCTTTATTATATTGCCCCTCAAAATTTGAAAAAATAGATTACATTAGAAATGAATGAGACAGTGCACTATACGTTTAAGTAAGTAAGATTTATTTTATATAAGAAAACACAGAGACATAGAGTGGTGTCCTTGGCGCACAGGAGCGGTAAACCTGAGTGATTCTTCATGTTCAGAGGCAGAAGAGGAAAGAAAATTTGGTAATTCCCCAAGGTGCGTGATGAACGACTCCTCCGTCTCCACGATCTTTTGAAAGATCATGTCTGGCTTACTTTCATGGAATTAAATATATCATTTTGTCTTAAACAGTTAATATATTTAGATTAGAAGAGTTGTTACCTTACCGCACAGAGATTTAAAATCCCATTTAACTATATGTAACATGATAGATCTATATAAAAACTTACTTTAAGAAAACTAATAAATCATTTTCTGTTAGATTCTGTGACCTATTTACATTTTGGATAATTAAACTGCTGATATTGTGCCAAAAACAGTATATTCACGGTATATCTAAAAATCCTCTAATTTTCTTAGACTTTAAAATTGCAATAGCTTCAATACACCTTTGCTTCTGTTAATTGGAAATATACTTCGCCATAACTTGTCCTCCTACCTAAATGATATTAGATTGTATTTATCTTTTTTTCTTTACAATCATTTTTCTACCAACTTTCAATGCAATATGGCTATAAATGGCCTTGGTGCCAATAACTTCCCTTTTATTTTTTTCTTACTAGCCACCTATGGTGGTCTGCCATTATGATTAAATTTACCTTGCTGCTTCGGGCAATATTTCTCTAATCTCTTAAATTTTACCTTTAATGTAATATAACTTCCTATTCACAAGACTGAGCATCAGACAAGGTTAATCATTTCAGCCTAGCTTTTGTCAATTTGCTCACAATGCTTACAGGTTGTTTGTTCTTACTGATGACAATAATAACAGATAAAAGAATTGTATTTTCTCTTCCATATATTGCATCCCTAGTTCTAAGCTTTTTGATCATAGAGTTGAAATAACGAGAAAATACAATATCCCTTGGGCAGCATATAGTATCAAATGGCATGAATTGTGCCTATATTTGTGTGTGGCATACTTGAATGTGATTATATTAATTTTATATAATTAACTGTTTTAATTTTTTATATTCAAGTTTTAAAGATGATACACAATTAAGGTGCATTTGGACAAAGAAAAGATTTCATACAATGGCACTAAATCATTTCATAACTAAGTGCTACACTGGTTTACTTTTTCTTTTAAAAAAAAATAAATTTAAAAGCTATTAACTCACAAATGATGTTCATGTTTAGCTTTTTATAATGCTTATTGTTTAATTGCACTATTTTTGTATGTAACACTGATTTTGTTGTCTTATTTGTTTAAACTTTTATTTTACTAATTAATTTTTAAACTAGTGCTATTTCTGAAAGGAATTTAAAAAAAAAAAAAAATTCTCAAAATATTTAAAAATTGAGAATAGCTAATTTCAAATAAGAATACAATCTAAAAACCTAGTTTATTAACTAGGTAGAAATGTTTTTGTTTTTACTTTAATGAAATTAATATCGAAATTTTGCCTGACAAACATTTATGTGTAATCATGACAAAACTAAAATCTTCTCTATAAAAAGTGTTTACTTACAAACTGAAGTTTTAAGTACTAAAAGAAATAAAAATAGACATTTTTAATTTGTTTAGTATAGTAACATAAAGGAACAATATCTTGCTATAATATCAGACAAAAATAATAAATATTGAATAAACTTATACATAAAATAAACTTATATATTAAATAAACTTGTATATAAAATAATAAACTTTTAAAAGAATAGTCATGTAAATAAAAACTATGCTAAAATAAATTGTATAATAAAAATATACCTTTTTGAAATGATTTTTTTTTCCTTCTAAATAAGAATAAATTTTATATTTCCGAAAGAAATGTTATAACTTTTTTCACTAATTATTGGTATAAAGCAGACTTCCATAGAAAGCTATAATATCAAATATAATGCTTGCAATTGTGCACCTGATTTCTTAATATTTCACCAAATATTTTACTTTTGACATGTTCTAATCAATCAGAACAGTAGTGTTCTTTTTCTGGGGAGAAATAACAGATTTACTTCCTATGTCTGCATACTAACTCTGTTTTCAACTAACAGTACAATTCACAACCCTTGCTTGATTAAAACTAATGTTAAGTTAATATAATTTTCCAGTATTTTGTGATTAAAATAAACAACAGTAGAAATCATTTGTCTGTTATTAAAATACTAGTTTTTTTTAGGGAGCATGAAGCGGTTCTTTTGAAAGAAATTTCAAACTGTGAAGCTACAAATAAAAGTTTAAGGAGACTGTTTGATGATTTTTCATTGAATAAAGTACCTCAGGGTATAGCTCAGGTAAATAAATGGAGAAAAAAAACTGCTTCATTGCATTTGTAAAAATTATGAAATTAGTTCTGTTACATTTGTTGCATTATTTAAATGGAGAAGTGACTGAATTATATAATCTTATTTCTCTAATCTAATGTTTCATGATAACTATGTTTATTTTTTAATTACTTATTTTTGTAATTAATACTGTTGAATATTTAAGTAGTTGTATCGGATTATGAAGTTGAAAGATAGGTTATAGATGAAGGTTGGTGTGCCATAACCTTTATCATTAAGACATTTTTCTTTTTTAATTGCTTATACAAAATGAAGAGATTACTTTTGGTTTCTTAAAATTTACTACTCTAACTTTATTCTTAGAGCCTGGATTTTGATAACCTAAAAATTTTCTAAGTAAGCCCTTAAAATAAATAAAGAAATCTTGTAATTAAACAAGAATTTTAATCTGAAACATAATTTTTTTCCTTAAATTTAATATTATATATATTTGTATTAAAACATGTATATTAGAAAAAAATGGTAGTGTAATTTTCAGTAAAGTTTGGATTTAATGCTGAAAAGAAAACAGTTTTAATGTACACTGATTTATGTTTTTACATGTACTATAAAACTTCAGTTTAGTGAAATTACAGGAAATCAGAATTGCATTGAATTATTCAATGCCCTTTAATATTACAAATGTGAAAGAACGTCTTTTGTCTGAAAGCAAATATTTACACCTGGAGAGGTTTCATTCAACACCTACTAATTTTATTGGTGTTCATTTGAAATAAACCTTCTCATTCTGTCACATTTTGGATATTTAAAGTTGTGGTATCATCTATTAAAATAAGAGCGATCTTTCATGGCATTTTGAGGAATACATGATTTTAAAAGAATCATCTGGATTTTTTTAGAATTTTTTTCGCTAGGAAAGAAATAAGAAAAACAAGATCTATCAATGTCAAAACTAGTATGTTTTTATTAAAAAAGTGAAATCTGAAACATGTCTCAAATGAAAAGGAGCTGATATGAAAAACTGAGGGCCTTTATCTGTCCTGTTTCTTCATCAGAACAAGTTATTGATGAATCAAAATTGAAAAAAAAAAAATTTAAATTAAGGGATTTACCTCTTACTTAATTAATGAATAACAGATTCTTTTCAACTTATATCAATCTATCTTAATTTTGTTGAATCTATTTCCAATCTCAAGAAAATTCTGGTTAAAAGATTTCTCACAGAATATATGTATGCACAAAATCGAGCAGTTTTGTAAAATAATTTTGGATCAATACATTTCCATCTTAATTTTTTATTTAAAAACATTGAGTATTACCCATTTTTCTAACGTTGTGGTGAATTAAAGAAATATGCTGCACAAAACGTTATTTTCTAAGCAGTGCATTACACTATATTCTTAGCCCTTCGTTTCTCTTTCTTAAAAATAGTATGTATGTGTTAGACCGAAAAATGTCCTGATTTTCTTGTAAAATATTGTCCCTATTATATGTTTTGAAAATGATTTTTATTTTGAACCACTACAAAACTTGTTGTATGCTTTATATTTGTATATGTATTGAATTCCGTGTTGTGTTTTTAGCTATCTACAACACTCAAATCTATTTCTACATTAATTTCCAATTTGAAAGATGTATCTGATATAGCTGATGAGAATATGGTGTTGCCTTTTTTAAATTATGGAGATGTTGAAGAATACTTTAAAAATGAAGAAAAACTTAGCAGTCTTGTGCTGACTAATCTCCTGAATGATTTTCAGGTATTTAAAGATTTTATTGTTCATTTACAGGGTTCTCACTGTCTGGAAATTTTTTTAAAGTGATAGCAAAAATGAGATAAGTCCACATGTTTCAATCATTCAATAAATGTTAAATTTAAAGGAAATATATATGGGTGCAAAAAATAACTTTGGAATAATTTTGTAATTCACAAATAAAAGATAAATTTAAAAAAAATTCAGTAGTCTTGAAAAATCTAAACTACCATTTCTTTGTTTTCCAAGTTGTGGGAACCCTGGATGTTGGGATATCTTGCTTATTATTTTCAATAATTATAGGGAAGCATTTTATATAAGAATAAAACAGCCAGTTTGACAAATCAGCTTCATGGAAATGATATACACTTTATTTCCTTGCTAAATTTATGTATACGTCAAAATCCTGATACTATTTTTTTTGTTGTTATATTTAAAAAAATACTTTTTTTAAGAGGCCTCTATCTTGGATTTTAGGTTGAATTTTTTATTTATCTTTTCTTGATATTTTTTAATACTTTAAAACTTTTGATGAAGTAGTATTATTAAACAGCACAATACCTTTCAAAAAAGTCATAAAATAAAGGGGTCAGACTATTTAATTTTGAGAAATAATGCTTGGAACTTCTATGAATTTTTCCTCAAAATTTTAAATCAATAAAATGATGTGATTTGTAGTCTTGAGTAAGTAGTTTAAAACTAATAAATTATAAATGTGTGTATATTCAAATATATAGGAATGTGTAGTTTTTAGATTTAAACCTAAATTTATTACAGTTTAAACTGATTTGGATGACGTTAAAAAAACATGCATAAAATAAAGATACTTATCAAAAATCTAAAAACATGCAACTGTATACTATATAATTATTTATCAAAAACTGTTGATGTCAGAATTTTATTAGCGTAATTTTGTCAGGAAAAATTAGCGTAGATTCTAAAATACTATGCGCTTTATGTCTGGTAACCTTGTATTTTACACATATCAAAACATACTTCCAAATAGAGTAAATATCCATCATTAGTTTATTTGTGAAAATTAAATCAAGAGAATTAAAAGCATATTTGGACCCATGTCCACCCTTTTGACAGTTGAGTTTGATCGGGAAGGGAAGAATCTCTTAATAGCTTATGTACAACTTTTCTTTAAATACACTCTAATTTAATGTAATTATACTTTTATAACTGAAACCAACATTTATTATAATATTACCGCAAATTATTATTTTTACTTTTTCCTTATTGTTTTGTTAGTTAAATTCTTCTTAAATTAAACATTTGAATTCTGGCTTATGCTAATGATAATAGACTAAAATTAAATATTTTTGGAGAGAAAGATGTTCTATTTGAATTGTTATTTTTACCTTCTGTAGTTTTTTTATACAATTACCAAAACTGGTACTCTGACACTTAGTTATTTTGTTGAAAACTTTTGTATACTCTCCATTAAAAAATCAAATGCGGCAGGCGTAGATTATTTTATTTCAAATTTTTAATTATATTTTTATTTTTTTTGTTTTAGTTTGAAGATGAGGATAATACTATACTAAATGTACCTGGACTTTCTAAACTGGAGATTTCTAAGGAAATTCATATTTTAAAGAATTCGTAAGATAATTTGTTTTGTGAATTTAAGTGTATTAATTTATAGTTTAATTTTATAACTTTGCATTTTTTCAATGATAAAGTTTGTATTTTTTTTAGCTTGAAAGTGTCGAAAACTTGTGAAATCAAATCAATTTGCAGTAAGATAAATACTGATAAAACTGTGATGCTTATCAAAAAATTTCAAAATGGTTACTTTGATGAAGTACTTGAAATGTCAACAGCTCAGTTGAGGTAAGATTGAAAAATATTTATTAAAGCTTATCAGGAAATTAATACTTTTCACATTAATTTCAAATGCTTTCTTATTATTATCTTAAAACTCATTAGTTCACATCAAATTGCCCAGAATATGAAACCTCTAAATTTTAGGTAAAACTTGTATATAATGCATCCTTTAATCTTCTTCCATACTTTTTCTTAGAATTCATATTTAATAAAAAAAAAAAAGGTGAAGTATTTATATTGTTGATTATTAAAAAATTCCCAGGTGTTGTATATATATATATTTTTGTTCTGTTTTAGTTATAAATTTGAAAAGGCAGCCCAAGTGAATGAATATTTAAAGAAGAAGGAGGCTCTGCTGCAATCACATCTTTCTGATGCCATAGGAGAACATGTGGAAGCTCAAAGTAGACAGATAGCCATTGCACATTGTCATGAAACACGTCTAATCTATAAAAACAGTCTCGAAAACATTTCACGTGTAAGTTGAAATATTGTTATAAATCTATAAAAAAAAATTCTACTCAAATAAAAAAAAAACAATACTAGGTAGTTAATGAAGTAAACGAAGAAAAGTCTGGCCTAATGTAATGTTAGACCTCATAAAAACAATGATTCTCAGTTAATTGGATAGAAAAAGTTTAAATAATTTGCAGTCTATTAAAAATAACTCTCAAGACGCTCATTTTGTATCCCTAAAGTTATTTATCTCAATTTGTTGAATCAAAGATACGAGATTGACTAGCATATCTTTAGAATGATTTATCATAAATAAGAGAACATAAGTCATAGATTTTTCATTGCGAAATAAAAGCTACAACTAATTTTAAGTCATCTTAGTTAAATTATATATGATTTAAATCAACATATACTGAAATTGATTTTATATAATCAATTATTATAAGTAAGATTTATGAACTATTTCACCGTAGATTTTTCGTCACAAAATAAAAGCTCTAATCTTTCAAATTTGGCCAATTTTAATAATTTGATTTTTTTGAGTCCTTGAGAATAAAACAATCCTCCTCCACTATGTCAATCCATCTAAGTTTGAATCTTCCTCTTCTTCTCATGTTAATTGTTTAACTGAAAAAATTTCTTTTAGATTCTTTGAACAGGTGGTATAATTTGGTGTTTCTTCTTTTACCATTTTCCTGAATTCCTTCAAAGATGCTTTTCAGGATCTTACCTTTAAAGGTACCCAAAATATTATGGTCATCTTTTATGCCTCTGAAGCTTAAGTCAGATTGGGATGTCTGAATGTCTTATACAGAAATAACTTCATCCTTCAAGGCAAAAAGTTGCCAGTAGGAGTGGCAGGAAATGCCTACGAGGCCTTGACCCACCCTGGGCTGTTCTGTCATAATTGATGAGGTTTTCACTACTGGGAATTCTGTCACAGTTTTTGAGAAATGAATCTTTAAATTCTCAATGATTATTTATTTTATATTGTATATCTTATTAAAATATTAAAGAAGGACATATCATCCAAAATCATATTTTATAATACCTTTTTTATTAATTTGTTTTTCTATCTACCTTTTATTTATTTATTTTTTTTAATTTTATGTTTCTATGTACATAAAATGATGCACAGCCTCTCCAATATTTGTTGAATCAAAAAGCACGAATTGAGTTCCTGAATCTACTAATAAATATACACCAGGAGTACTGGCAGGATGTTAAAGATTTGCTTTACAAAATTTTCCATTTTGTGGACTCTGAAAAGGAATCATGTCTCTTTAGGCAGGTAGGAAACCATTTTGATTAATTATTAACATTAAATTCTAAATCTTATAACATTTTCCTCTCTCTCTTTCCTTTTTTTAAAGATATTTTTTGAAAACTTTGTAATTAACATGAAAAGACACTTTTTTGTGTGCAAAGAATATACTATTTTCATAATTGTGAATTTGCAACAGTTAGGTAATTAGTCGATTTAAGCTTTTCTGTAACCTGTGTCCTCTGTACTAATACCTTACAACAATATTAACCAGGGTTCATTCTAGGCGGGGTTTACGGGGCGGGCCGCCCCGTATGCCCTTTTGATGAGAAATTTCCGCCCTGTTGCCCTTTACTCCTTTTATCCCGCCCTGATAATATAAAATGCGCCCTGGAGTGCCCCCTCCAGAAAAATCCCACCAATTAGTCTTTCCTGCAAGAAAGAATTTTTTTATTCTGCCCCACCTCATGGAGACACTTTTCTTGAAATCAACTTGTCCTTCTAGCTCAAAAGCTATGGGTAAATAGGATTCCACGAAACGCTCCCCCTCCCCCCCTCCTTACTATTTCCTCTTGAAGTTAGTGGTTGAAATAAGAGATTTTCCCAGAAGTTCCGCCTGTCAGGGAATGCAACCCCTCCTGCAGCTGTGTGGATTCCTATTTCTCCTTTTAGAAAAATCTCTTTTTCTTAGGACTGGAAGTATTGCTTATTTTAAGAAACCATACGGCAATGGTGAAGGTCAGTTGGTCAGTAGGCTTGCCAAGAGTTTTCTTGGAAAGAATTTTCTAAGGAAAGAAATCCCGTTCACAAAGCCTGTAGACTAGTTTAGGGGTCGGACTAGGTCATTGAAAAAAGTGATACATTCTAATTTATCTTCTGCCCTGCACCCCCCCCTACTCCGATTTATTCTTTCGAAGGACGAAATAAATTTTTACTTTCTGTTTCAAAAGTGGGGGGACTTAGACAATTAACTAAGGAAATAAAAAAGCATTTTTATCCAAAAGAAACAAAAAAATATTAATTTTAAAATCACCTTTTTTTTTACAATGACTCAACAAAATTCTTACGATAACAATGAATAATTAGGGCCTTTCTGTGCAGGCAACGAAAGAATTTATATTGGCAAACTACAATTTTTATTATTATTATTTATCTGAAATATTTTTTCCAGTACTTTCTCATTCCGTTGGCAAGCTGCCAGCAGTATAAACGGATCGTCTTTTTTTTTTTTTTTTACTCTTTGAAATATCGCTTATCAATGACTTTCTCGTTTTCATTAGATTGTTCGAGCAGTCTATTTTTTTTTTATTAATTTGTTTATTCATATTATTAATAGTGTGTGCAAAGGTATAATAACTGTGCCTCATAAGAGTTGAATCAAACGTACAATTTATTTGTAGATGAGGCATACTTAATTCGTTAAACGTTTTTTCATTGTTTATTTATTTCCTTATTTATTATTTTGTTCGACTGTTCATTCTAATTGATACTAAATAAGCGAATTTAAAACGGAAACTTTTCCCTACATTTAGAATTTTTTACTCATTAACAGTTCAATCTGAGGTTTTTATTTTGACGCTATCACAAGTGCTCCGATAATCGATGGCGACGACTCAGTGACATCCAGACATTACGAATGATGTAATTAAATCGGGAAATATAAATCCGAAACTTTTTATCACCTAATATTATTAAATTTATTTATAGCTGTGTGCTTGTACCTCAAAAATATTGAAAAATAAAATTTATTTGACGATATAACATGCCTTATTTGCAAATTTCTTTTTTTTCTTTTCTGAATGATCACAGCGCACTTAAATAGAACTAAATAAATTGTTTTTCTTCTGTTGATAATGTTAACCAAAATAAGCTAATACAACTTAATCCTGGATATTGCATACAAACATGAAGTTATTTTTTAACGCTATGTATTTAATTTTATTTTAAAAACATCTTTGAACAGCCGATCCAATTTTGGGTTTACGACTACCAATGTTTAACTTCGTAGCCATGTAATTTTGAAACCGATCCAGAAGACAAGAGTACTCATGGATCGAGTATTGGGAGCAATTTTCCTTCTGGAAGGACGTTTTGATGTAAGAGTTGAAAGAGCGTTAACCTTCCAATGAGGTGAACCGGGTTCGAATCCCGGCAATGACTGGGATAAGATATCCGCGTGCGACTTGCACCGACTACGGTGCTGACGTGAAATATCCTCAGTGGTAGACGGATCTTGGGTTGGAGTTCCCTTGCCGTCAGGCTAACCATGGGAAATTCTCGTGGTCTTCCTTTCCGTGTAACGCAAATGCGGGTTAGCTCCATCAAAAAGTCCTCCACGAAGGCAAAATTTCTCCCAATACTTAATCCAGAAGATCCCTTGTCTTCTGGATTAGGTTCAAAATTACAAGGCTACGGAGTTGAACATTAGGAGCCCTAAACCCAAAATCGGGTCAGCAGCTCACAGTTACCACGCCGATCGATAACTCTATGTAGTACTTTCGATATATTTAAATATGACACTTCTTTATTTTTGCTTTTTTTCCCCCTCGTTATTGTAGAAATTTGGTCTTTATTTTGGAGCTTATCACAATTTCGGCCATAATCTATATCAAATCATAATCATAACACCGTGATGATTTGACAACGCATTGTAATATTAGATAGATTAATTTAAATACAAAACATTTTTCACTGAATACTTTTAAGCTTTTTTTATTTATTAATTTATTTTTAATATCAATGTTTTTAATATCAATGCTATTCGCTAATTCTGCGTTTGAAAGATCGTGCATCGTTAATATTGTAAATTGAATTTATCTGTACATAATAAGCAAATTTTTAGTTCAATTCTTTTTAAAACCTAAAATGTTCATTTAAATACAATAAAAAGTGCTGCGATCACAAATAATTTTTTTATATTTTATTTATTTACATTATAATAATTTGTAATTGCTTTAATCCTTTTTTTCTCTTAATGACAGGGTGTGTACGCACTGGGAATTTTGACAGAAACTAGATTCGAAAGAAAAAAATAAGTCACGGAATTGGTATTGAAAAAAACTTGTACGTTTTTGATAACGTAATTTGTGAGATTTCACTTTTTCGTTCTTAATACCGTAATTCCCCCTTGCAAATTAGAAGATATAAAAAAAAGAAGAATTTTTTTTTTCTTTCTGATCGACTGTTATTAGGTGCATCATTAAGATTCTTCTATTATTTTTAAGCGTTTTTAGAGTGAAGTCAGAAAAACTCAAAAATTCTGCTCTGAGAGTTTTAATATATGTTAGGTGTTTTAATATCTAGTATTGTTTCTCAATTTCCGCTATCCTTCATTTATATGACAATTTATTGTTTCATTATTTCAGATAAAACATTAATTAGGACGACAGAAATTTATTTTTCTCATCCGCTATGTTTGTGAGCTATCAATTAAAGCACTTTTTTGAATTTAATAAATTCTGATTCCTCAGAGGTGCGGATCATCAGCAAGTTGCGCATGATGTGGAATCACACCCGCTCTTCTTTTAAGTGTGATGCTTCTATATAGAAATAAAAACAGAAGATTGTTTATTAATAAACACCGACAATGATTTATTACTAACTAGCCGCCTAAGGCGGCCAGCTGTCCGCCACGCTGAAGGTTTTCACAAATAAAGTTTTTTAAAACATAGCAGGAAATCTGAAGATTAGTGGACAATTAAAGTGTTCCTGTCCTGCAATTTTGTCTTCATATCCAGTTCTGCTGCAGATGTGTTATAGCTCTTGAGGATGTTTGAAATTATATAGCTGCAACGCTTAAGAAAAAAAAAACTAAAATGCCAAATACATGAAAAGAACACGAAAACGAATAAATTTTTTATGGTATCAATTTTTATTTCTATATAATTTTTTATGCTATCAAATTCTATTTCTATATCTGTTACGTCAAGCACTCAGGTATTATAATTTGATCTAGTTGTGCTTGTATAATTTTGATCTAGTTGCGCTTTCTACGTCATTTTGTTAACATCGTTTGGTTTGTTATTTAACATCGTTTGGTTTGTTATTTCTAAGTTAACTTTCAAAAAATTGGCTGGCATCAGCATTTTTATTCTTTAAGTTGTTTATTTTTTCTTTTGGAATTCGTTCCTTTTTAGCGAAATGTTTTTCAACCTAATCGAATTCTTTGCCGACTGTTCTCTGTATATATAAAGAAAATAAAGTAAATATTTTTAAAGTGTTGTGAAAAGAATTTTTAGTTGTACAAAGTACTACAATATCGCTATAAAAATTATCGTCTTCGCTTAAGAAAAAAAAAAAAGAGCGTGGAAAGAAGAAGAAAAACTTATTATAACAATTATGAACAGCGACAAATATATCAAAGCGAAGCGTTCTATTTACGTATCGAATATGTTGCCACATTTTTAATACAAAAGTTAAACTTTTCTCCACTTTAATAAATGTAAACTAATGCGAACTTTACAATTAAATTATTAATTCCTTCGTATATTATTGGTTTAAGTTGTCGAAAATTAATATTTCAATTGTGAGGTTCGCATTAGCATACATTTATAAGAGTGGGGAAAAGTATATGCATTTTTTAATAGTTTTTTGAATATGGCTCTTTGAAGACGAAAAAGCAGACGAAAAGCATAGACTTACAAAATGACTGATAACTAAATAACTAATCCAAATTTTTGAAAAAGAAAAAAAATACTTCTTCATTATGTCAAAACACAATTATGTGCCGAGTTTTGTGCCTGGGCGAGGCTTCTGGGACGATATATTGTGATTACAGACACACACACACACACACACACACAGCCGCTTTTATTATTATGTATAGAAGACTAACGATTATTTCATAAAGAAGGGTTTAGCTTTCTTTTTTTATAAAAACTTTTATTTCTTGTGCGTCTTCGTTCAAAACTTTGTACTCAATGAATTAGTTAATTGCTTATAGACTGCTCATTAGTTAATTGCTAATTTTTTTTTAATTCAGTTAATTTAATTTTATCATAGACTTTTGGGATTTAATGCTTATGGTAGCGCTACTTTTAACTATCGTTTCCGTTTGGTTAATTTTTAAGTGCCGTTGTTTTTATTTAATTTTAGTAATAAATTTTCTTGTATTTTATTATTTATTTTAAAAAAAACTTATAATTAGGTTTGAAGTACATTGCGTTATTTAATCATTGATTTTATTTTATATTAGTTAATTTGGTGATTTAATTAAATTTTTAGTTTTTTATAATTCGGTTTTATTTAGTTTATTAAATTTAGTTTATATTTCAGAAACTGCGATAATTTTTCCGGCCAGGTTTAGTTTATTTTTATAGATTATTCTTTCAATAACAGAAAACGAAACGTTTCGAAAATTAATTCAGTTTTTTTAATATCTTTCTAGTGGAAGCTCTGTTTCGCCCTTAGTTTCGCACGTTTCTATTCTTTCAATAACAGAAAACGAAATGTTTCGAAAATTAATTCAGTCTTTTTATTTTAATATCTTTGTGGTGGAAGTTCTGCCTTTAGTTTTCCCCTTTTTTTTTTACTAAATATCGTGGAGGAGGCCAAACTTGTTACTAAATTTTATTTATAGTACTTTAGAGTGCTAAGAAACATTTGATTTTAATGAAATTTATTTAATTAAGATTTAATATTGAATTTCAAAGTGCATTAGTTTTATTATAATGTAAAAAAACTGTAGAGAAATTGAGTTGGCTTGAGCTTTTCTGTTTAAAATATTTGAACTCAGTTCAAATTATGACTGCTCGTTCAGTTTACAATGAATAAATTATGATTTATTTTTAGCAATAATAAATAAATACGACGGAAAATTGTTTAATATTGAAATGTTTGAGATTCTAATTATTAAATATAAGAAGAAAACTTTTAAAAAAAAAGATAAAATTTCATGTAATTTAGCGATTTTTGTCCAACTTACATTTCACTTTTAGGTGGGCGGACCCTTGTTCCCTAATTAGTGTGGAGGAGACCTAAAGGTGCCCAGCCTCCTATACTCTAGGCCAATGAACCGGTAGGTATCCATGCCAGTAAAGGAAAGAAAATTTCTGACTGGTCGGGTTATTCTAAAAATTGACAATGATATCATCCGTTCACAGTATATAAGGTCCCAATTACATCCAACAGTGTTCAATATCTTTCTCCTTGAACTATTTTATCTCGTTAACTCCAATTCCCTTTTAAGAGCGATTTTTAGTTTTCGTTAATTTGATTGGTGCTCAAACCAAGCTCGGACGTCGTTTATACTTATAGCTGTGATCACGACTTTAATAACCTTTCATATTTCTTCACGATTTGAGTGTTTAAAAATGCCATCCAAAAATAGAAGGAAGAGAGAAAACGATCGCCTGCTTCATCAAAAGGGAGCGAAATGCATGAAGTTGACTACTTTTTTTGGAAAAAAGGTCAGTTTGTTTTATTTCCTAAGTATAATGTATAAATAGATTTAATTTTATTTTTTTAAAAAGTAGTTCAAAAAATTTTGTTATTTTAGATACAATGAATAAATTATAAAAATTGTTTTTTTAAATTATTTCAATGTGGATTTTAAAATTTAAATTTCAATCAAAAATGAAGTATTATTTTTTAATTTTCCTTTTCTTGAATTTAAGTATTATTATTGAAATATTCTGATATTTTAATGACAATGATGAATAGATTATAAAAATTGTTTTTTAAAATTTCAATGTGGATTTTAAAATTTAAATCAAAAATGAAGTATCATTTTTCAATTTTCCTTTTCTCAATTTTAAATATTATTGATAAAATTTTGTTATTTTAGTTACAATGAATAAATCATAAAGACTGTTTTTTTAAATTATTTTAATGTGGATTTTAAAATTTGAATTTCAATCAAAAATGAAGTATTATTTTTAATTTTCCTTTTCTCGAGTTTAAATATTATTATTGAAATATTCTGATATTTTAATGACAATGATGAATAGATTATAAGAGTTGTTTTTTAAAATTTCAATGTGGATTTTAAAATTTAAATCAAAAATGAAGTATTATTTTTTAATTTTCCTTTTCTCAAATTTAAATATTAGTATTGAAATATTTTGATATTTTAATGACAATGATGAATAGATTATAAAAATTGTTTTTTAAAATTTCAGTGTGGATTTTAAAAGTTAAATCAAAAATGAGGTATCATTTTTCAATTTTCCTTTTCTCAATTTTAAATATTATTAATAAAATTTTGTTATTTTAGTTACAATGAATAAATCATAAAGATTGTTTTTTTAAATTATTTTAATGTGGATTTTAAAATTTGAATTTCAATCAAAAATGAAGTATTATTTTTAATTTTCCTTTTCTCGAGTTTAAATATTATTATTGAAATGTTCTGATATTTTAATGACAATGATGAATAGATTATAAAAATTGTTTTTTAAAATTTCAATGTGGATTTTAAAAGTTAAATAAAAAATGAAGTATCATTTTTTCATTTTCTTTTTCTCAATTTTAAATATTATTAATAAAATTTTGTTATTTTAGTTACAATGAATAAATTATAAAGATTGTTTTTTTAAATTATTTTAATGTGGATTTTAAAATTTAAATTTCAATCAAAAATGAAGTATTATTTTTTAATTTTGATTTATAAAGCAAAATTAAAGCATTTATAAAGCTTGAATTATATAAGCAAATTAATGGATTAGTCTTTTATAGTTTGTTGCATTCTTAAAAATAAGATAGTATTAAAGTGTTAAAATGATAAAATAACTTTATTATTTTTATTTTATTTATTTTGAAAAATTTTTCAGAAAAAATTGTAATTTCTTTACAATTGTCATTTTTATTTATTTATATGATTTTTTTCTGCCAAGCATAGTGCTTTAAGGAAGAATTCAGATTCTTCAATAATTTTACTAAATAGTTTTAATTTCAAAACCTTTTTAAAACTTTTTAACCTAATATGTTATCAATATTTAACAAAGCGGAAAAGCTTGAATTATATAAGCAAATTAATAGATTAGTCTTTTATAGTTAGTCGCATTCTTAAAAATAAGATAGTATTAAAATGATAAAATGAAAAATTTCAAGTGCTGCTACTAATTCCACAAAACAGATTAAATAGAAACGATTTCTACCAAAGTGTTCTTCATTACACATTACATAAAATTGGGGAGTTGCTAGAGAGAAAAAAGTATTTTGGAATATTTAATTTTGATAATTTTTAAGGAGTCTTCTGTCATATTTATCATTATCTTTATTGTGTGCAGTGCTAATGTTGATAGATTCTATTAATGTTTTTATTTAAATAAAGGTTAGAAGTGGGAATTCTTAAATATATAATAATAGTTATTATATATTACAATTAAATTCAGTCCTCTTTCAAGTAAAAACAGATTATTCTGATATCTAAGCATCTTAAATCATCCCACTTTTCTTTCATTAGGTTTAGCTTAATATATTGTTTTAAATTAATTTAAATAATTATTTTATGAAAATTTTAATGGAAAAAAATTCTATTATGTTTGAAGATTTAGAAATTTCTAAATTTTAGTATGTTTTTTATTAGGTCTCAGTGAAACATATAAATAAAAGTGTCTAAAATTATTTTTCAAAACAACACATGGTCAGAAAATTTATAAGATTCCTTATTTAATAAATTATTTATATTTTCATGCGTTTTATAACATGTTTATATTTATTTTTGTGATGTTTCAAAGACAGCACCCCTGTTAATTAACTAAACAAATATACATGTGACAGTTTGTATTAAATGGTATTCTTTTTTCTCAATTTTTTAAGGACTGTAATCGGAATGCGGATGCCAAAAATTTGCCCTTGGATGAACCAATCGAATGCAACAGGCAGGAGAACTCTGAAATACAGCCAGCAATTGAAGGAGGCTCCCAACTACAAAATGAAGCAATGGAATGCAATACACAGGAGAACTCAACTGAAATTCAGCCTGCAAATGAAGGATGCTCCCAACTTCAAGTATTGGAGGAACAATTCAAAGATAATGCAGTGCTATTAGAACAGAGTGCCATAGAATGTAACAGACAGGAAGAATCGACTCTTCTTTCCCAGCTATCTGAACAAAATTTCGATCTATTACCTTCAAATGAGAGTCCATGCACAACTTCATGCTCCCAACTTCAAATATCACTGGAAAAAACAAAAGAAAGTTCCTTGTCTACCCCAACAGAGATTGAAATCCTGGATAATGAAGTTACTATTCCTAATAAGAGCAATTCATTTGAAACAGAAGCTGAAAAGTCGAAGAAAAAAGGTAAACACAAAATGACTTTTGATCAGAAATGGTTAGAAACTTTTCCTTGGTTGAGACATAGTCTCAAAGACTTGAAAGATGTTTTGCATTGCAATTTATGCATTAAACACAAAAAAAATTCTGATTCTCCATGGGTGAAAGATGGGTGCATAAGTATACGTCTAGACAAAATAAAAGCCCATGAGAAATCTGCCACCCACATGGCTTCAATAGTTCAAGAAACGAACTTTTTAACTTCAAATAATTTATCAAGTGAAAATCCAGAGTCGAAAACATTCAAAGCAGTTAAAGCAGGAATGAAAACATTGCATTTCCTTGTGGAAAATAATTTGCCATACACTACATTATTTGAACCCTTAATTAAATTTTGCATCGAGGAATTAGATTGTTCCATTTTAAAGCCTCTTAGAAAAGCAAAAAATGCAAGTTACACCAGTTACGCATCAACAAATGAATTTTTGAATGTCATGGCTTCCGTAAAAGAAAAAGAACTTTTAGACGATATTAACAAAAGTCCATGTTTTTCAGTTTTGGCTGATGAAACTTCTGATTTGAATAACCGGAAGCATATGGCCATGGCTGTGAGTTACTTAAAAGAGGGGGAAGAAAAAACTTCTTTTGTCAAGAATACTATGATACCTGACGGCAAAGCTGAAACTATTTTCACCGAAATATCTCAGGTGGTTGATGACTGTGGGGGCATACATAAAATGTCTGCATTTGTAAGCGATGGAGCAAGTGCAATGGTTGGCAAAAATGATGGGGTTGTCGCAAAATTGAAAAGAAGTAACGCCAAAATAATACCCATTAATTGTATGAATCATCGATTAGCCCTAGCGACAAAGGACAGTTTTGAAGCAACGAGACGATTCCTAAAGGTCGATGAGGTGTTAACGAGCACATACAAATACTACAAGCAAAGTTCAGCAAGAACCAACAGTTTGGTTAATGCCCAAAATCTTTTTACGAAGGAAAAGGGTAAAACCATAAAAAGAGTTGGCTTCACGAGATGGCTGTCTCATAATGAGGCTCTGAACTCTATACGATGTAATTATGAAGCCATCTTAGCAGATTTGGAAAATGCTGCTGTAGCAAAAGGAAATCCTAATCTCAGTGGTCCAGATCCTAATTCGCTTTTAAAAATATACAAGCAGTATGAATTTTTTCAAGCCATACACTTCTTGTGTGATGCCCTCTCAGTCATTACAAACCTTAACCTCCACCTTCAACGTAAGGATTCTGACTTAAGCTCTATTGAAGCAAATGTGCAAAACACCTTGGCAGAGATAAAGAAACTAAAAAAGAGACCAGGTGGAACCTACTGCAAGAAATTGGAAGAGCGCGCCAGGCAACTGAAAATAATTGCCCCGATAGGAGCCACCGATGGTTCATTCGAAGCTGATGCCCGAGTTTTCCTCGACCTTTTACATTCGAATGTTTCAAAAAGATTGGAAAATCTGGAAATTATCACGAATTTAGGAATTTTGGATCTTCGAAAAGTCCCAGAAGGAACTGATTTATCTCTGTATGGAAATACGGAGATAATGGAACTAGCAGAGTATTTCGAAATGGAAGAAGACGTTTTAATGAAAGAATGGAAAAATTTCAAGGATTTTTATGTTGTTAAAAGTAACATTCCACATGATGCTCTGTCAATACAAAAGCTTACATCCATGATGTTCAAGCAAAAGATGATTGTTGGCGATATGTTTCCATCTATTGGACAGTTAATGAACAGAGCATGTGTGATTCCAACTTCAAATGCAGAAGTTGAAAGAATATTTTCGCAAATTAAACTTGTGCTCACAGATAACAGAAATCGTTTGAAAGTTGAGCAAGTTCACAAGTTGATGATTTTGAAATTAGGTGGCAAGTGTGACTTTACAAAGGCCGTTGAAGAGTGGAACAATTTGAAAAAGAGACGCATCCTTCTTTAAAAAGAAATTTTGTGTTTTATCAAACTCTCAACAGTGTATACGTTATTTCTCTTATATATATATCCTGAAGCAGAAAGTGCCTAAAACTGTGGCCTACGTCGTAGAACAAACGAACTCCTGCTGAACAACTTGTATCTTGAATAAGTGACAGCATTTTTCTGCGAATCCCCCATCTACCTCCGGTAGTCTTGCAGAATAATCCCCAGCCCATATCTCATACATTCTTCTATACCATAATGACCTGAAGGTTTAAAAGTTTGCGCTCATAATCTCACAGAACATTTCATCCCTCCTCTGTCAGAAAGTACGTTTCAAGAAGTTGCTCTGCCAGATTTGCCTGTTAGCTCCAGAAAGACTACGCTACATCTTAAATAATTCTGAGAAATAATTCTCTGTCTAATAATTCTTTCTATATTTTCCTCAGATGCAATGCAAATGATAATCAACATTGATTCCGTATTGGAGCAGTATGAAATATATTTTGAAAACGAGAAAACTCTGATATTATCATTAAACGAATGAAAATTCTCTTTAGTATTAACCACTTGCCATTTCCCAGGAATGATGAGGCTTTAGAAGAGGAACATTTGACACACTGCACAAATTTCAGCACATTTATCAGTAATATCCCTCTCCCATTTCTTTGCCATTCTGAGGAGGAAATTAATGAATTAGCTTTTGGCTATAACATTTTTATAAAATGGGTGTATCAGTTTTTAGCAGACAGCAGGAGAAATCGATCACCATTTTTATCAAGAGAGCTTCTAAAGAAAGCCGTAAAAGAATTAAATTAAGAGATTTCCAATTTCAAAATGTTTATGACTTTTATATTTTCCATTCCCATTTCAAAAGCAATTTGTGAATCGTGGGGATCAAAGATTGTCAGAATTACTTCTAAAAGATCAAATACTTTCGATGGAGATAAAGAAGTTGTTGGAACAACAGAGCAGCGAATGTTTGTGTTTGCGAATGGTGCCCCATCTGGGCACTCGTCTCTTCGAAAGATTTTTAAGATTATTTTAATGTTCGAACCTTCATATCATAGGCATTTTATTAATAATTTCTCATCATCATCGCCATTAGCAAAATTTTGTACTTCAAAAGTGATTGAAAAAGTAACATATCAAGAATGTTGAACAAAGCAAGTGTGATACCAACTTCAAATGCTGAAGTTGAAAGAATATTTTCTCAAATTAAACTTGTGCTCACAGATAACAGAAATTGATTGAAAGTTGAACAAGTTCTCAAGTTGATGATTTTGAAATTAAGTGTTAAATGTGACTTCACAAAGGCTGCTGAAGAGTGGAATAATTTGAAAAAGAGATTCAAATTAATTTTTGAATGCCATGGCTTCCGTAAAGTCAATGGTAGAAGATGAGTGTGGAAATACAGCGATAATAGAATTAGCAGAGTATTTCGAAATGGAAGACATTTTACTGAAAGAATGGGGAGATTTCAAAGATTTTTATGTTGCCAAAAGTGACATTCCACAAATTGTTCTGTCCATACAAAAGCTTACATCTATGATGTTCAGACAAAAGGTGACTGTTGTTGGTGATATGTTTCCCTCTATTGGACAGTTGGTTGTGGCTGACAGTTATCTAAAAGACTGGGAAGAAAAAACTTCTTTGGTCGGGGATACTATGATACCTGGAGGAAAAATGGAAAGAAGTTGACAGTTATTGAACATAGCATGTGTGATACCAACTTCAAAAGCAGAAGTTGAAAGAATATTTTCCTAAATTAAACTTGTGCTCACATATAACAGAAATTGACTGAAAGTTGAACAAGTTCTCAAGTTGATGATTTTGAAATTAAGTGTTAAATGTGACGTCACAAAGGCTGCTGAAGAGTGGAATAATTTGAAAAAGAGATTCAAATGAATTTTTGAATGCCATGGCTTCCGTAAAGTCCCTGGTAGAAGATGAGTGTGGAAATACAGAGATAATAGAATTAGCAGAGTATTTCGAAATGGAAGACATTTTACTGAAAGAATGGGGAGATTTCAAGGATTTTTATGTTGCCAAAAGTGACATTCCACAAATTGTTCTGTCCATACAAAAGCTTACATCCATGATGTTCAGACAAAAGGTGACTGTTGTTGGTGATATGTTTCCCTCTATTGGACAGTTGGTTGTGGCTGACAGTTATCTAAAAGACTGGGAAGAAAAAACTTCTTTGGTCGGGGATACTATNAAACAATCTGCCATACACTACATTATTTGAGCCTTTGATTAAATTTTGTATCGAGGATTTAGAGTGCTCCAATTTGAAGCCTCTTAGAAAATCAAAAGAAACAAGTTACACTAGTTATGTCTCTACAAATGAATTTTTGAATGCCATGGCGTCCGTAAAAGAAAGAGAACTTTTAAATGATATTAAGTTCATGTTTTTCAGTTTTGGCTGATGAAACCTGATTTGAATAACAAAGCACACGACTGTAGCTGTTAGTTAATCATTTTTAATTAGATAATAATGTGGATCAAAACTTAGTAAATTAATCTATCATTTAAAAACACAAAGAAGGCTAAGGTATCTGCCCTTTTTATAAAATACAATGACTTTTTTTAAACTTGCTGCCCTTTTTTTCCAAGTATAGTGCCCTTTTCTATTTCTAGCACCCTGCCCTTTTTTGAGTCTAGAATGAACCCTGTATTAACCTTAATAACTTTGAAATAAAATTTCTTTAGTGTTTAACTTTTAATAATGAGCACATTTACCAAAAAGATTTAGTAGAAAATCAGTTTTGAAAATTTTATGTGTAACTGTTACATATATAATCATCAAATTACTTATGTTAGTTACTAATGTTATAATTCGAGCAAAGTATCGCTGTTTTCTTAATATTTTGATTTTAGTTTATTATAATTGTTATGTACGAGAACTATGGTATTTAATATAAAAACATTTTAACTAACAACCATACGATATAATATCAATTTTGAAATTTACTTTAGCTACTGGTGAAATGCTAAACAAAAACATTCATTTATAAAAGCGGTAAAATTTTAATTTGTTCCTAAAAATTATAAGTTGTTAGAAATAAAGTGCACTTTTAAGTAAACATGTAGATGAACTATTAAATTATAATTTATTTGTGTTTTATTTAAAAAATAGACAAAATTAGCAAGGTTGAGTTTAATTACATGATCCACTAGGGAGGAGTTAGTGAGCTTCACTTCCCCAAAACCAATTTAATTAGACCTACCTTCATATAAAAAGTTTCAGTTTATTAAATCTTCTTAAACATTTTACTTTCTGGAAGTTCTCTGAAATAATAAGTTGTATTGAAACTAAAATAAAACTACAGTTAAGGAAATAATCACAATCTCATAATTTAAAAAGTTAAAAGCAGAGTCTAAGAAAAAGAGGGGGCGGCAAAATTAAGGGTTGCCACAGGATGAATACTAGCTAATAAAAAATTGTCTTTTAGACTGTCATCAGAGTGCCACTTTTATTGTCAAAAATATATCTCCTGTGCATTTTATTATTATTTTTATTTAATAAATCTGAAATTTACTTTATTTTAAACTTATTTTGAAAAAAATTTTATTTTAAAAATCAACCTTTGATGATAAATAATAAAACAAAACTTGATTAAACTTGACTTAAAATGCTACAACTGGCTAATTGTCAATTTTCCTAATTTTGACCTATAACACAAAGTCTATCTCTATTTATAATTAGAAAAATATAAAGATCCTTTTTGGAGTAAGGAGTTAAGTTGTTAACAATTATTGTCAAAATTTTTTAGATCTTTCTTTTGATTTTATCTTAAGTGTTTTTATCACTTTTTGTAGCAAAAAATTGAAGAATTCATGAAGCAAGCTAAAGTCGAGGAAACACATTTAAGTCCTGATTCAATATTTGTTTCTGCTTATAAAGTTTTGAGTGGTAAGTTTATGAAAAAAGATTTAATTTTTAACCAACCATTTTGAAATTTTAGTTTTAAACCTGTTTATATCTTTTAGTGTTATAACAAAATACCTACTAATTTAAGTTTTCTATTCCAAAAAGCAAATGAATTTGTTTGTAAAAAATTTGTGATCAATTTTTAAGAAATGTATTAAAAAATTCTTTAATAATCAAAAAAAGAATCTGATTAAAAAAAATAAGTCAGTGCTAATTGAATAATAATTTTTGTTTCATTTTAGGCCTTGAAATTTACACTTTCAGTCCCACCCTCTGTGCTTAGAGTTCCCAGTAGCACTAAAATTAAAACAAAATGCAAATTTCTTTTAAAACTTGTTTATTTTATTTTAAGAAATATTAATTGCAATCAATAACCATATTCACTATTACAACAATAGAGCTCCCCGAATATTCTCAATCAGTGGCGTACGCAGAATTTTTTCAAGGGGGGTGTTCATAATTTTCTGAAGCTACTAAAAGAAATTCGAGTATGTAATAAAGCACTATTATTTCTCTAATTTTGACAGCTAAACAGTTTTGACTTTTTATTTAGACAACATTGTTTAGTTAAATTTTGAGTTGATTTTTTAAGTTTAAGAACATAATGTAATATCTACTCGCATGTAATATCTTCTGAAAAAAGTCCAATGTCATATGGGTGGGAAGTAACACTTTGAGGGCCACTTTCACATTCATCAGATTTTGTTATGCTAGAAACGTTTTCTTCAACGGAAGTATCACATTTCTGTACAACAGAAAAACTTACATGGTACTCCGTTCCCCTTTTTAATAATTTTTCACCACATCTCCAAAATTCTCGAATTGTCTCAAAGACGACAGAACGGCTAAGATTCCAGAATCATCGCGTAAAGACCTCGCGAATGACAGCCAGTCTCGAAAGCTATCGCGACTGGCAGAACAGAAAGGAACCAGTCCATAACAGTACCACATGAATTTGGTTTCAAAAGTACAACCCTATTATAGTAAATGTTTTTTTCAGTATTCTGAGAAATGCTGTGAGATAAAAAGGTAGGCATAAGGCAAATAAAAATGTATAGTCTTAAAAAATAATACCCGCATAATTTCTACTAAAATGTTTATTTTTGCCATTTTGTCTGAGCTCAAGGGGGGTGTTCAAACCCCTCCCTTAGGTACGCCACTGTTCTCAATAAAGTTATGATGTCACATGGAGCAATCATGAAATCGAGCATTAAATAAACTAATATTTAAAACAATTTTGTTTAACATGATAAATGAATTAACTCATTTCTATTTATTTCTTTGTAATGTTATTTTAACTTAATTTTCTGTTTTAAAAATATATGCTGAAGTATTTATTAAAGTAGGAGTGCAAGCTGCGCCGAACAATATAAACAGTGGTGACTGTTTTATTCGTAAAAACTGAAATGTTAAATGAACTGTTCAATTTTAAAAATTTAGACGTCACAATATAGAGACATTCAGAATCGTTATAAAGGTGCTTTGGTAGTTAAGGATGTGTTATTTAACTGGATAAGAAATAAAATTCAGTAGTCTTATTACCACTCTCTACGTTTTTAAGCGCAGCTTGCACCACTGATTAAAGTCTTAAACCTTTGTACTTATTCATATTTTAAACACTTCAGATGATATTGAGAATCGGGAACAACCTCTGATTACACTTCCTGATGTTGTAAAAAGCATTGAAAAACTATTTGAGAGAAAGGAGTTCATTTCTAAAATTAAGGATGAAAATTCTGAAGTAATAAAAATATTGTAAGTATTTGTCAATGCTTTGTTAGTGTTATTTTCAATCCAGGCTTCAATCCAAGCTGCGCTTTCTTTGCTTACTGGCAGATATCACCAATGCACATCTAGATGTGTGTTTCATGCACTGGACTTGAGACTCATTGGGAATGAAAACCTTTTGTTAAAATAGTTTTTTTTCCCCCTAGGCTCTTTGATTTTTATGCATGAAGATGATATAAATTAGTATAGAGTTGGTGACAATGACAGCACTCCCATGTATTCTGTATTCATGAAAGTAGTCGTTATTGCTCTAAGGCTGTCAATAAATATAGCTGCTTTATAAAAAAAAAATCCTGCAACTTAAAATAAAATGAAATTTAAAAAATAAGGTCTGCTTGGAGATGAGCTTGAATGACCTTTCTAGCTTATCTTGGATCAAGGAAGATTATAGTTTGTGACATCAATTTTGAACAAGCTGTAAATTTGTAGAATTGAAGAAATACATAAAAAATTAAATTAATTTTATTTACACTCTACATTTTTTCCATTTGAAAAAACTCATAAAATGGTGTAAAAAATGGAAACAATGTGCAATTATTTTTTGTTTGTTAAATATTCCATTTATAATTTTTTGATTACATAATTAATAATTTAGATACATCGCATAATTATTTGTTAGTTAAAATATAATTTTGTTACTTAATAGCAGAAATTTGCAAATTCATTTGAAGTTCACTCCTTTTTAAATTTCATTCCTCAAAAATGAAGAACACCTTTTAAAAGAGTAAAGTTAATTTTTTTTTTTTTTTTTTTCGTTTTGGACAACTCTGTTTTGAAGTATTAAAAATTTACTTAAGTTTCAATATCTATTATTTTATCATTGGAATTTAAATTTTAATACTGCCTTGGATTGAAAATGTTGCTTTATATTTTTAAAATAAAGAGTGTTAAAAAAGAAACTCATAATTAAAAATGGCAACATTAAAACCATTGTAACTTAGACTTTTTGTACTTTACGGTGAAGTGACAAATTACAGCTTGAAAGATTTTTTTTTTAAACACCAACAAAAATTTGACCTAATCCATTAAAAGCTTGTCCTAAAAATTTAAAGTTTAATTTTAGTCTACTTACCCACATGTTTGCTTTGAACTTTAAGAAACATTAATTAAAATTGTTTGTTTCTGCTTGCTTCAATTAGTGTCTTTCTGTTTATTATTGTTGGTTCCGTCATATTTAAGAATTTATTTTGTGAACTTTTATTTTTAAAAAAAATAGATTCATTAAAAAAAAATCTCTAACTTTTGATCAACACTGAAAAAGGTGAAAGGTAATATGTTGCCTGCTTGTAATAAATAGATGACAAAATTTTACAAGACAGGACGCTACTGCCTATTGATCTGACTGTTTTTGTTACTGTTATGCTGTTAGAGGTTTTAACATAAACTATTATGTGGCTGAAGGCATCAATTGTGATTTTTGTCCCATACTGCATTTAACTGATAATTTACAATCAAACATAAAGTTTGATAAACTCTTAGAACTAGTTCTCTGTTGGTTATTTTACAATGGAAATAACAAAATTAATATTTTTCTTGTAGCGATCAAAAAGAGTTTCCAGGAATAATTTTTTATTTTTCATATATAAGCATAATGATATTTTTATGCTTATGATATACTTTTTATTTTTTATGCTTAGATATTATAATTGTGTTTTGATATTCTTGACAGATCAAACATTGAAAAAGACTGTCATTAGTAGTGCAGGCATTTCAGCAATGTAAAAATAGAAAATGTTTAACTTTTTCTATTTTTACATTACTCAACAGTAAAATAAAAAGGTTTTATGCTTGTATGTGGGGGACATTTGAGTTTCTGAACCCAAAAACTCCCTATTTTACAAAAGAAGTCACATTCTATCAAAACAGGTTGATTCTTCCAAAATTTAAACCTTGTGTGTAGTAAAAAATCAAACCACCAATTTCAAAAGATAAAAAGCTTATTTAAAAACATATCTGATAGTACTGCTGTATTATCATTCAGTTAAAATATTATAATGGTTTAACATTATTCTTTGAAAGAACCACCAAAAAATATTTGCCAAACTTTGCTTTAGTGTTTAAGTTATACATTTTGATTGTAGGAAAAATGTAAGTTTTAAAGGTAAATAATACTTCCAGTATATTGTTTAAAAAAACACACACACATTTTTGTTATTAAGTAATCCTATCCTGTCTATGTTATACTTCACTGTTCCTTCGTAGCAGTTCTATAGCTATTTATAAACAAATAGTAAAACCATGTAAGACAACTCTGATATTTATGGCTCTTGCTTTTCCTTTTTAAAAGTTTTTTTTAAGAAATTCAGGCACAGCATGTTCTGCTTAATATATATGTATATAGATAGACTTGAATAATAGTTTTATTTAATTGATTTCCTGAGGAAAAATTTTTTTTTAGTCTATTGTTATCAGCCTTCCAAATTAGCATCTGTACAGATTAACTTATATAATTTTTTTTTTTCGGATAAAATTAATTGTAAACAAGTATTTATTTCTTGTATCTATTATCTTTTTCCAAAAAACAGATAACAAATCAGTTTCATTTTACATTTACTTTTTCTTATCTTGTATTTTTATTTTTTTCCTTCTGAAAAAAATGCATGAATGACTTTAAATGAAAATAACTTCATCTGTTTATCCTATATCTAGAGCAAAACAATACTTAGATTTGGAAAAAAATATTTCAAATGGAATCGACTATGATGAGTTAATGAGAGAAGAAAAGAAATTTAGTACAAAAGTCAATCAAACTGAAGTTCTGCTTGAGGAAATATCCAGCTTTGTAAAGGAATCTGAAAATGATTGGCAACAAAAAAATAAGGTTTGTTGTTTTGTTTTTAACTTTTCGACGATTAATTAATATTTGTCTATAAAAAGATTGCCAATTTGTAGCATACAGAATATTAGGCAAAGTTAGAAATCTCCCATTTTCACAAAAATATTGAATTAATTTTTTTTCTACTTTAGAAACTATGATATATATATTTTATCTTAATACAGACCTGCCAACTTCATAAATTCAAAAAGCATGAGAAATTTGTAATCTCAGCATAGCATAATCATAGATGCCACTCTTCAGTCCTGGGGACTGAAATTAATCTTGAGAAAAATCATTGGACCAAATTACATTAATATCTCTTTCCCATTTGTTTACTTAAACTAATTTCCTTTTTTTTTTTAAATTCTTAAAAATGTAACATATTTTCTGTTAAAAATAAAAAATAACAATTTTTTAGAAAACAATGTTATTTTTCTGAATTATTGCAAAATCATGAAGTAATGATGCCACACTGTAATGACATAATGAGATTTGTACTATTGCTGAATCTAAATTTTTTAAAGTTACTATCTCCCAATGCATTGGCATGTTGGCCGAAAATAAATCAATATTTATGTATTTTTAATTATAGTGTTACAACGAAAAATAATATTGTAGCAAAAAATAAGTAAAGATGTGAATGGTTTCAGAAAAAATTTAGCAGTAATATTATTCACTTATAGGTGTAAAAAATTTACACAGTTAGCTGCTATTTCTGTTTTGTTTGCTAAAAATTAATTAAATAAAGAAAAAAATGTTAAAAACACATAATTGAGGACATTATCACAGAAAGGTCAAAAAATTTTTTAAGTGGTATAATTTTGTGTGTGTAAAAATTATGCCAATAGTCCTAATCTCTAATCTTACCAGCCCGCAATAAAACACTGAAGTATTTTACCAGACCATTGATTAAATTGGGTTGAAAAATGTTTATTTAGATGTTTTATTTTATTGATTTTTCTGAACTTTGTTTTTAATGATCTATGTTTGAAATTTCTAGCTTTTAGTATCACAGAAACACTTGAGACTGGCACGAAGTCTCTTCATCTTCGCTCTACTGGAGAGAGAGAAATTTGAAAAGATTGCTGGGAATATAGTGCAAGCGAAACCACACCTTTTGTAAAGAATATTATAATAATGAAATTAAGAATTTGTTGAAAAAAATTATTTATTAAAATTATTGTGATGTGAACAAATGACTATAAATAATATTTTTAGAAATATTTATAAATCACAAGTGTCGTTTTTAGGAAATCGTCAATTGATTCTATAATGAAACCAGTTAAATTTTGCTGTAACTAAGTTCCATATTGGAAACAAAGTCACCTCATTTGTTAACATTGGAAGCTGGTAAAATTTTCTTTTTTTACCATAAACACAAATATTTCAATGTAAATCACTGATGAAACCAACTGTTTTTGCGAATGTAGAATAAATGATTTTTACGAAAACTGTAATGAAATTTAATCAATGAGAAAATAAACTATAAAAATCACATTTTAATACAACAGTAACTGCTTAAAAAAATTGTCTAGACTAAGCATTTTCTGTTCCATAAAATTAAGTAATCTTATTTTTGGATACTTCTAACACCTTCGCAATAACTTAATCCTATTTAAATGATAAGAATAATTCTAGTAACTTACAAAAACTTAACTTAAAAATGATTTGTAGATTTTCAACCACATTGCTGGATCTGCCATCACCATAAATAAAGTTTTTCAATGTCTTAAACAGGGAAATGCTAGTTGTAAAAGTAACCTACAACCTTATAGCAGTTGATAATTTTGCTTTAAATTAATTTTTTGTATAAACTATTAAAGTTTTCATTATAAAATGTATTTCGGCAAAATTAAAGCATTATGAAATATTATAACAACACTCGATAAGCCTCACCCTAAAACATACTTAGTAACACTTTTTATAGAACCATGATTTCTGGATTGTAACCTTCAAATGATACATGTCAAAATTTATACATTCAGATAAGGAACCTGCGTAGTATTTTTTTTATTTTTAAAAACGAAACTTCATACCATTTTATGATGATAGGCACGATTCTTAGTTCTATGGTTTTTCTAATTATTTTGTAATTAAAATTTAAAATCGCGAGATTAGCCACGCCCCCTAAAACGCATTGAGCGTTCCCGTCTTGGTTGATGACCACAGAATATGGGCTCAATAAAGACTCTCATCACCTTCCAATATGGTGAAAGCATGTGCCTCACTTAATATACTTAGTCAAACCTTAAGTATTTCCATTTCCTATCTGGGATCAAACCATTAGGTGAAAAATTTTGAAAAAATTCTTATTTCTATGTATAGACCAGTCAGGGTTGGCAGGTTTTTGACATGTGACAGTTTTTGACAGTTTAAACCATGGTTTAAACCGTCACGTCAAAAACCTCACTGTCAAAAATGTCAAAAACCTATATTCATATGTGAAATTTAATTAATACATAAAATTTATATATTTTTTAAAGGATAGTGTTTCTAAATATGTTCTAGAAAAAATAAATTTAAAATTTTGAAGAAACACTTATATTTTGAATAGTAACCAAAATCTTGTACTTTTGAAAACTCACATCTTTTGTAATATTATGTATTCATTTTCATGTGTTATTGAAAATCTGCAGTGATATTATTAAGAAATTTATTTATAACCAAATTTAGTGTATAGTATAGATTATACTAAAAATTAGACATTTTTAAAGATAAACATTAGCAGTTTTGTACATTAGACATCTTTTAAAGAAAAATCTTTTTAATATTCTTTTAAATCTTCTTAATAATCTTTTTAACATAAGACAATACAAATTTAAGTGCTTTCTGTTAAATACACAGAGTAGTTAGTGTCGATTTACAGTATATTCAGCCTATTCATTTACTATGCTGAAAATTTAGTTTATCCAAATACTTGTGAATTTCATTTTGCTGAATACTATATAGTTTTGTTGAATATCTAAATATTCAGCTGTTGAATAATTACTTCTTGCTTTCAAGATATGCATTATTTGTATTCTTAATACAAGTGGAGAAAAAAAAATTAAGAGATAAAAATTGTTTTAAAATGATAAGTGTAATAATTATAAATAAATATAATAAACAATATGAATTATATTTATCATTATTCATAAATATAACTACTTTTAAATTCAAATTAACATACTGGATAATAAAGATATTCGGTATAACATTAAAAAAAATTTTTTATACACTTGTATCTTGTATCAAGTTTGTATTTATACAACATAACTTGTAAGTTCCTTATAAATATTAGTTATATGTTCCTTATATGTCAAAAATGCATAGTAATAAACTTTTAATTTTCTTAAGTATCAAAAAGAAAAAAAAAATTTTTTTAAAAATAAATATTTAAACAATTTTTGTGCAAAATTTTTCTGCACATGCATTTGAATATAAATTTCTGAGATTTTAAATCTGTTATTTTACCTTAATTTTAATTAAAAAATATTTTAAAACCTGCTGATTACCTATAGTATAATTAAATTTCAATATAATGCATGGCAACTGTTGGTAGTTTTGAAGTTTATATATTTTCTTGGCAAACTTCAGTTTTTGACATTTTTGACGGGTTTTTGACGGTTTAAACCAGTATTATACCCTTGTCATGTCAAAAACCACTTTTTGACGTCAAAAACCCAACCCTGAGACCAGTTTTCTTATAACACTTAAGAATGATAACATTGATATTTTTGAATCACCAAGACCTCTCAAACCAAATATCTTTCTCAGTCTGCAATATATTAAAAGCAGATTATCTGCTACATTTTAGATTTTCAAAATTATGATTTTCCATGACTAATTACGAGAATTTTTCATGACTTAACGAAGTTACTATTTTCGTCGACAAACACAGAACAATACATTTAAAAAGGCATTATAATAACATTAATTGAAATGATAGGTATAACCAAAACTGTTATACTCTGTATTTTCTTTTTTATAGATTTTAAATTGATAAAAAAAATTCTGAAATCACAGAAATTTAAAAGATAATTCGCTCTAGAAATGTTTTTTCTTTCATTTTTTGAAAGAACATGATAAAAACATTTTATATTTTAATAAAATATGACTGTGAGTGGGGATTTTGTTAGAAATTAAGATATTCGAAACACCGTGAAATTTGGGGATTCCATTTTAAAAAAATTTTGGCAATCTAAATCCATAACTTTCCATGATTTTTTTTTTTAAAAATAGTTAAAATCATGACAAATTTAGTTCAATACTGAAATTCATGACTTTCCATGTACGCGGATACCCTGCAAAAAGTTAACACAATTTTACCAAAAATAAAACTCCATTGTAAACATCATTTCACTCTATGACAAAAATTGCTAATTCCGTTAACCCAGGATGTGGATTCTAACGTTCCCGTCAATTTCGAACATAGTGACTTTTGGGAGCTTTAAAATATAGGCTATTCAAATAAGATTATTACACATGAAAGTTCCTTATTAGTTTCTAGGTCATAAGTGGTTTTAGTGACCATAGTCTCAAAACAATGGATAAAAAAAAGTGTATTGATTAAACACTGTTATTTGATAGGAAAAAGTACTGAAGCTAAACAGTAGCTTGATAAGTGTTACAGAGCCTCTGCACCTGGCAAATCAGCTATTATTGACTGGTACGGTCAATTTTATTGATGTAAAAACACTGATGTTTAATGCTCTGCGTGTTTAAAATTAGCAGTTCTATCAGAATGCAGTGTTTTTTTTTTAATAACCAATTTTCTTTTACAATGATGCTTAATTAATGTTGGTAATTGACATAAGAAACTGATCAAAATTATAGCAAAAATATCGGAGAAAAGATACTTATTCATTTCGAACCGACATATTACTGACACTAATGCTTTATTAATATTGATCTGTATTAATTGAAATAAAATATAAGCTGAGCACTAAAAAGCTAAGGTTAAAAAAAATTTGTTTAGGAAAACTGTATAAAATCACCATTTCAGATGACGGTTAATTCATATGTATCCCTGAAAGTAATATGCACCATTGGTATTATATTAATTGGTGTAGTTTTGATGAAAATTCCACTAAGTTTTTTCCAATGGTAGCAAAGGTAGTTTTTAATAAATGAGAACAAAAGAATTTTGTTCTGCCACTACTAAATATTTTAATAGTAAATTAAAGGTTAGATAGAGAAATGTTCATTCTCCAAAATCCCTATCAAGTTCTAATAAAAATTAGATTTTTTTTTTTTAAAATTTCGACTTTAGTTGGCTGTCACTGACAAATATATTTTTCACAAAACTTAAATATTGAAAGGTTATATAAGAAGTACCAAATGTGCTAATATAGATATAAAATATGATATATTTCGTTATGAGTAAAACAGAACCAACGTTAAGCCGTTTAAATACCAATATTTTAGAAAGGCCCGTGGTAAAGGATATGTACCGGAGAAAATTATTTGATTTATGGTTTAGCAGCGAGTAATAGCCTCATGCCTAGGATGCTAAATACATTTTCTCTTCATTCTAATGGGATGAACTACAAAAAACAAGTTCTACTTACTCCAATAACGTAAAGCCACTGTAAATGGCAACAAACATTAAATTTAAAAAAATATTTTAGCTATATTAATTGAAAAACTTAGTGGAAGAACCAGGTATGACACTTTCAGAATAAAAAAAAAGTTGTATATGAACTATTTTATTACCAATTTAATAGAAGATGGGAATAATAATAATTTCTAATTTTAAATAAAACCTTATAGCCTAATTCGAAATAAAAAATACTAGCATACTAAAAATAAAGGAAGGCAAAACCAGTGATTCATTAATCTCCCTAAAATGTCCCTTACCCGGTTCTTCCATCAAGCTCTTTAATTGTGTTGGTGTATAGCAGGGGTCCCCAACCCTATGCCCGCGGGCACCATGGCGCCCGTCGATCGGTCTAGGTGCGCCCGCTGCTTGTGCCCAACGATAAAATATTTCAGTTTTCCATTTCCCCATAAAATGCTATGCAAATACATACATAAGTACGCTAGCTCAGTAAAGGTAAAGTTCTTGATAGATTTCTAGATTTATCTGAAGAAATAAAAAATTATCTTGCATCCAAAAATCAAAAATTTTTAGATCTAAGAGATCCTCTTTGGCTAACAGATTTGTCTTTCATAACGGACCTAACGGAAAAATTAAATAATTAAAACTTGGAGCTGCAGGGAATAGACAAACATATAGCAAGAATGATAGGGGCTATAAACTCGTTCAGAGCTAAGCTAGTTTTGTGGATATCACATTTGAAAATGAAGTCTCTTGTGCATTTTCCATACATGATCAATTTGAAAAGCGCTTTCAACAGTTTAATATCATCAAGATATTTGATCATATATTTTGTAAATCCTTTTACCAACCAAATAAACGTAACCGTAATAGCAATACACATTTCAGAATTTCTTCAAGTAAGGCGAGAAGTGGAGATAGAAATTTTGGATCTTCAGAATGACATTATCCTCAAAACTATTATATCAGATGAGAAATTCTGGAATATAGTTGTCAGAAATGAATTTCATTCTTAAAAAGAGCAGCATATAAAATAAAGTCGCTTTTTGGTTCCACATACTTGTGTGAATCACTGCTTTCGACAATAAATATCATAAAATCAAAATATAGATCCCGACTTACAGATAAACACCTTGACGATTGCTTGCTAGCAGGAATTTCACCATATTCTCCCAATTATGAAGCGCTGGCCAGTGAAATGCAATGCCAAAGACCACATTGACTGTATTTTATATACTTTATAAATAATTTTTATACTTCGTATGGTTTGAAAAAGCAATTTAGTAATCATTTATTTTACACAAGAATATTAATACTAATTAAATTCCTAAGTTAAATTAATTTTTAAAATTAAATTTTTTGTGCATTATATGTAGTGTGTATTATTACCGACGTCTATCAACTATAAATTTATCTTAAAAAAATAAATGGTGCCCGCCATTCGACCGATATTCTGGCATTTGCTCTTAGGTACAAAAAGGTTGGGGACCCCTGGTGTATAGTATATGCTTTTCAGTTACGAGCATGATTTCGTAGTGTTTCTTTACTAGGATCGATTCCTTAATTATTTATTATCTACGCCTTGCGAAGAACGGCATTCAGCAAGTAAGAAATGAATGTATCACACTTGAAGGAGAGCATCTTCATAAATAGTTTTAATTTAAAAAAAAAAACATGTATTTTTGTGCTAGACTGGAGAGTTAATAAGTAATGTGTTAAGCGAATATAGTCCAACTGAACTAGGACATATTTAAAAACTTTTAAATTTCCATTAATCTATTTTGTCATTTACACTCATAATTAGAAGCCAATACTGTAGAAACTATACACAATCCATAGTTTACTAAAAGTTTTGTAGGAAAGAAAACTGGCATTGCAAAACATTAGCTTTAAAATGAAATATTAAGATTTCAGGAAGTAAACGAATAAAAAAGTAACTTATCTATGACAAATTACATTCAATAGCTTTTTGTGTTACAAGGAGATACATGTCAGTTAAGGAAAGAATAAATTGTGTGTTTTGAACATAAAACACATATTACAAAATTAAAATGTCTTTTTACTAAAACATTCACTTTTGTTGGTTGTTTCTAAATGCTATTCCTCATTGAGCTGTCAATTGAAATAACTTCTTAATAAGAGTCAATCTGAAGTTTTAAACCTTAAAATTTAATTTTTATCAAAATCTATATTGCTTTTAATTTATAAACTTTTGATATTACTTCATGTTTAAAAAGTATCCTTCACAATATAATTTTAAGACAAATAATAAATTTCAGACTTGTAACAAGACCATATTTAAGTACTACTCCCAACAACCTACATCATGCTTAGTGTTCAGCAGAATTTTCATATACAAAATTTTCTACACAAGAAAACTATATATAGGGATTGAAAATGTGATTATAGAGACATAAAACTAATTTTTTTTAAAAAAAAAATAATTTTTAAAGCAGCTAAAATCCACTGAACAAAACAGTACATTTTAAAACATCTAAACTAAATGAATACTAAAAGAAACAAAAATGAAACACTTGGAATAAAATAAAAACATTTTTAATTGGTCAATGTAAAAACAATGATCTTATGAACAAATACATCAATAGAATAAAAAAACTTTCATTCTGCTTCCATCTTCTGATCATTCTTAGCTCTTGGTCTAAAAATGCCAACAATAACAGTATGATCTCTTTCATAAGGTTCCAAAGTTAATGATTCAAGAGGCTTCAACCTCTCAGAACGTAGCTTTTCAATTTCACTAGCAACAACAGCTTCTGGGCTAGCTGTAGAATCAATACAGTTCGCTTTAATGGAAATAATATAATGCCCTTCATCTTTTAAATATTGATGGGCATTCAATGCTAGAATTCTAGCCTGATCAGGTTGAGCCACATCAGAGAAGATAACATCAACCATTCCAACGAGCATACGGTAGCGCAAGGGAAGACGAGCATCCTCGATGATTGGAACAATATTCGATCTTTTTTGGGCAACACTTAAAAGATCTCGTCCGGAACGCTGTGAAAACTCCACGGCATAAACCAATCCTTCAGGCCCTACTAAATCAGATACGTGAGACACTGTTGTACCAGAGGCAGCTCCTAAATACAGAACCCTGGATCCCCTTTTCATGTGAATGTCTCCAATGCCACCCATAATTGCAGCAGCTAATTTAGAACGGAATGGATTCCATGCTCTGTATTCAATTTTTTCATTATTTTCTTCTACAGATATTCTTTTTTCATTATAAACAGTATCGCCTGGAACTAAATTAAGAGTAAGCAAGGTATCTGTAGCTCCTCTTGAGATGAACACACCGTCGTGCCTATGGGGCTCAACAACAGTCTTCTTGCCTCCTCTACCTGGTGTGCCTCCTCTACCTCGCCCACCTCTACCACCGCGGAATCCTCCTCGTCCGCCTCTATCACCACCACCTCTACCTCCTCTGAAACCACCACCTGTTAAAATTAAAAATTTTAGAATACTGTTTCAACAATGACAATCAATAAAATGCAAATATTTAAATCTGCTATTCTTATAACAACCAGATTCATTAAAAAAAAAAAAAAAAAAAACATACACCAGAAGAAATTAGCATTCACTAAAATCTACCTGTTTTGCAAAATAGGTTGTACAAAACAAAATCTGATCATTCATCATAAATTCATATGCAGGGGCCCTACCATGAGCTACCGGGAATGGAATGAAGATTCCCGGCTGGAAAGTGAAACTGGGAAAGTTTGGTTCCATGAATGTTCAATACCGCACCATGAACACTCCCTTGGAATCAGACATTCCACGATAACTCGCTCTCAGGGCGTGGCTAAAATTTAACCAATCACACAATTTACTTTAGATTTTCTTTTTGAGTCTGGCAACATTAGCATGAGTAAAACGAAACGAGCTTCTGCTATTTGGATAATATTTTTGACTACTTATTGTCCCCGTGGCAGAAACACGGCGACACAGCGACATTGTCGCAGAAAGGGACTGAGCTCTTGTAGCACTCGGAAAGCACTCGTGATCCTCCGTTAATCTCCCTAGTCCGTGTCCAACACAAACAGTAACTGGATATAAAAGGGGAGAAATTTTTCCCCCTTTATTAAGCTATTTTTGGGACATTTGCCAACTTCGGCCTTTATCGCTAGCGCAGTAATTTGCTTTTTGTGTTTTCTTGCGAGAATAGAGCGTTTTATATTTTTTGCACTTATGTGGAAAATTTCATGCCTAAAAAGATTTTTTCTTTTTTAAAAAAATAATGTCTAGCGAAAAGGTTTTGTTGCTCTTGTGAAGCAACAATAATTATATAAAAAAAAATTGAACTTATTTTTCAAGGCCCATTTCGAAGAAGAAATAAGATGGAAAATGACAATATCTAGCGATGTCAGAGATTTTTTTTTCTGCAAAGCGACAGGAGAAGAGGAAAGAAGCTTACCACGCTACTAATATTGAAGAAAAAAAAACGTTCTAGATTCAAACCAAATATTCTTACTAGTAGCGATGTTGATAGCAAGGATGATAAAATGCCTATATCTTTTGAATTAAGCCGTCGATATAAAAAAAACACTTGCAATATAATGATAAATGAAATAAAGCCTAAGATATCTCACTATCTACGATTTTTTGGCATGCGAATGAAAACCAGATTGGTGGAAAATATTTACTGGCGAAACACTTTCAAATAGGTTTCCATACGCATGTGAAAAAAATCGCATCCAATGAGTATGGCTCTAATACCGATGTTTCAGCACTGATGAAGACGATTTCGTTTCGAGATGTTGAATAGTCTTGAGCGTATTGAGTCGGAAACCGCGTCTGCGTACTTCGTGTGGAATCAATGCTATATATTTACACAATACAGTGAGACTTCTGTTACAAATCGCAAGCGCTGTGTATTTTTTTCTTTCTGAACTTAATCTGATCACGAAAAAAGTTTTATTTACCTTCTTTTTTTTTTATAAAATTTTTTCAATAAGTCAGCACAAAATTAATCGAATCTAATTGTTTTCATATAGAAATAGATTGCTTTAATTTTTTTGCTTTTAGAATTCGGTTATAGTCAATATTATTTTATTATTTTGATTTTGATTACTCAACCTCAATATTAATTTTTTCACCTGATTTGTTTCTGTACCTGATACAATTACTATAATGAAACATTAAATCATACTGTTTTAAGCTGATACTTCAAATTCAGTTATGTTGTTTTATAAATTTAATCTTTTTGTCCATTCTTAGCTATTTTTATAAGTTCTATCTTATTACAGGTTCTGGGTTATCTTTATTTNGTAAGCGCCTCCCTTTTACTGTAATGGGAAAGATACTTTTGCAAAAGACAATGGTAGGATATTTACCCTTTAATTCAATGGTAATATCTATATATTAATAGGCTAGCAATATTTTGTCTCGCTAAAAACTCCCAAACTACGCAACAGAATTAAACAAATAAGGTGTCGTTTTAAAGGTATTGTTATGTAGATGTGCAATAAGGTCTTAAATTATGAAAATTTCCTTTAATTAATTAATAAAATTAATAATTTAGTTTCAACCAATGAGAATTCAGCAAATCATTTTTCGGGTGGTTCGCATAAGCATTGTTTCCGTAAGCATCGTTTGATTTAAAGCATTTCTGAATTAATAGATTGATAAACAAAAATAAGAGTGGATAAAAAAAAACGGAACTGAATTTCTTAAAAAAAGAATTCAATATCTTTAGTTCCTTTGATAAATTTTTAGTTTCATGATAAATTTTTTGTTTCGTTACAATAGAATGGCAATGGCATCGTGCGAATATTCAAACCAAAACAAACGTGCGAATATTCAAACCAAAACAAACTTTCTACAAACAATTATTTTGATTTGAGATTTAAAACGATATCTTAGTTATTTAGTTCTATTTTTATTTATTTAGTGCCTGCTGCCTAAATAAAATGCCTGCTATCAGGCGTCGAAATATCTCTGGCAGACGTCAGAGAAATGAATGGCGGAATTCTAAACGGGAAAGCATTTCTTATTGAGATATATTCTCTGCTACAGCTCCAAATTTCTCAGCTACATGAAGAAAAGATAATCAAATTGTGAAGGGGGCAGAGAAGTGTATAAATTTCATTAAGTAATAGATTTCAATATCTGGCAATTTTATTTTAAAATTTAAATTTGTTAAAATGTTTTTAAAGATTGCGAAGCAATATGCAATGGAACTGCGAAGCAGTTCTGGGGGTTGGCGAGCGTAGCGAGCAGGGGGCGGAGCCCCCTAGTTACTCTTTATCCATGCAGCTTTAAGCATGAATACTTTTTTATTTTAAGTCAAAATTAATGCATAGAAATGTATTCTTTTATCTGGTTAAATGTAACTAATTAAGTGAATTAAGAGCTTTAGAAATCAACTTCGTGCCACAGAATAATAAAATCTACTTTTACAAACATCGTGCGTGCATTTTTATTGATATTAAATCACAATTTTTCAGTAAATAAAAATTAATTTCTGGCAATTTTTTAAATAAAATAGTATAAATTTAAGAGTTGTTCAAGTTTACTTAATGCGTAACACATTAAAAGTGATACATTACTATGTTGTTTTAAATAAGAAGAAATATATCAATTGAAATTATTAAAAATGTGAGTGATTTTGTTTCCATTATTCGTCCGGAATGAATAATCTTTGTTGAGCAGAAAAGGCTAAATACCAAATATTTGTATGTTGCACCTCTAATTTAGAAGCAGCAATTTTTGAGCAGAATTTTGTACCTATTGACAATTTAAAAACTCCTTGAAAAGGTTTTTTGCAATAACAGGACCCTGATTGAAAGAATGTGACTTAACGCTTATTTTATATTCACAAAATGTCTGGACAGACCCCTGGTAATGATCAGTATTGAACATGTCTAGATTTCAATTATATTTAAAAAAAAGTATAATATTAAACTTCTCTACTCCTAAAAATTATAAAGCATTAAATGATCCTATTATTTATTTAGAAATTCTTTTCTCCTTTGCATTCACAGGCAACAAATTATTTAAAGTTTGTTTAAACAAAAACAGAACGAGTATGTAACTTAATTATATGGCTGAATATCCTTTCCCAGCAAAACTTTTGAGTTGAATTCTGCATTGAAAAACAATTTAAAATATCTTCGCAACGCAAAACAAAAAAGTGAGTTTTAAGACAACTCCAAATTTGTGTCATCCTTTACTGAGACTAGAAAAATAAACAACAAACTTATTGCTTGGGAAAGTAAGTTAAATTAAGAAATCACCCATGTAATTATAAAAATAAATAAAAAACCTATACTGATTTTTTATGGTTCATCAGAAATTTAATACATTTCTGGGATAGTACGTCTCAGCAGCCAAAGGTATGTATGTACTCCTGATAGAAAAAAAATTCTATAGCCTAAAGGCCTGTTGAGACGATTAAAGTTCTCGGACGAAGATTGATGGAAACTTGTTTTGCTTTGAGCTTGAATTGTGTAAACGATCGTCCAAGTTATTGGACGATAGTAGATCATGTTCCACTTTCCATCCAAGTTTTTTCTCCCTTAACCAATCAGCGTCTTAGGTTTTGTGACGTCAACAAGCAGGCATCAGATTACGTCATTTCGTTGTCTGTTTTCATATATTTTAGATTTTATTTAGATATTATGATTTTATTTGAATTTATGTAGTAATTTTAAATTCATGTTGGTATTATTTTTTAATGTTGAATATGAAAAATGTGCGTGCGCAAGTTTTCCTTTCGACCAATCAGTGACATTCAAGAACTTGGATAGTGTCGACGAGTCACTCAATTTCTTGGTCAGAGAAATCTGTCCAGTTTCTCAGATTTCAGAACTTAACCAAGCCTTTAGGTTCTGAAACTGGAAGCGAAGTCTCTCAAAAGTATAAGAAAAAAGAAAGTTATAGTACATTATTTTTTTAAATACATTAATTTGAGATAGCACTAAATAATAAACTTCATTTCAGGTAGTTAAAAAATTCCAAATTTGTTGTTTCCCAATAAAGTAGATTTAATAAAACTATAAAGTAGATTTCGATCACAGTTTTACTACATCTAACAATATCACAAATATAATAGTACTATAAAGCTGACTTGCTTTATTATTTAGCAGTAGAACTTATTCGAGTATCCATTGTACAGTGTTAGTGCAATGTAAATAAAATAAAAAAACATTTACAGCATTTTTTAGCACTCTGATTTCAGCATTTCTAATGAAAACAACTGTGATTTCACTTCCATAAAGTCCACATTTTTTTATTATAAAATGTTGGAAACCAGATAAAATACCAAAAACCAGAAGACTGGAAAATCTCATGATTATCATCTCTGTATATATCAAACCCCTGGCAACGTTACAGACTCCGAAACGTGTTCCGCCTGGACAGACCTGTCCAGGCGGAATTTACTACCGTTTAGCGGTATCATCACAAATTCAATTTTAGGAAAAACGGTAGTTTCACAAAATACTTTATCTTAAAATTTTTTTTGTATCCTTAGGAAACGATAAATCTATATTTTGATAATGTTTTTGTGTTGGTTTTTTAATATAATTTTGAATTTTTTACAAATTATCTCTAAATTTTCGCAAAATAGGTAGGTACCTCTCAGAAAAACCTAGACGGACCCCTGGTCACAGAGAAATTGAAGAGATTTTTAAGAAAGAGGGTATCGAATAGCATTGACACCAAAGTGTCTAACACATTGTATAGGAATGAACAGCTGAATGCAAGAATGAAAACACCAGTCAATGGTAAGCAAATAAAACTCTCTCATATTGAAAAGAACTTTGCAAGAATGGTATGCAAGTGCCCAGTAAATGACCATATGGCAAAGAATCAATGCCAAAAGGAATTATTACCATGAATTCGTATAGAATTAGTGATATGTATTGAATATCTTCAGGGCAAAGGTGACTAAAACAATAAGAGTCGAGTGTAATTTAGATCATCGAACCAAAGAGAACATGTATAACTGCAAAGATATGTGCCGTATTAGAAAAACTACAGTAACAATAAACTAAGAATGACAAAGATCAGTAAGCACTACAAGAACCTGGCGGTTTTTTTCAGAGTAGATAAAACTTGTCAGAAAATTAGTCGATGGAACTGGAATGGAATCGTGGTGATTAGTTAATTAAAGAAATGGGAGCTTGGTATTGGAAGTCTAGCTGGATCAAGATAATCTGGCATGGAAATTTAGAAAAAAAAGTTTGGCACATTGAGATATGAAATATTGCGTAGAGATAATGAAGACGACACAATGTTGTATGGAGGAAAGGAATAGAAAAAATAAATAAAACCTAGACGAGCACACAAAAACTAGCAGTAAAAACTTGAACTTTGGGATCTCTGAATAAAAAACTTGCACAGAATCTGTATAGAGTTTCTAACACTGTGAACTTCGGTTTACCTTGAAAAATATAAAATTTGTCGTTGGATTATAGAAAACTCAGTTGATCGCAATGTTGCTGCTAAATTTACCAACTTGCAGAATTACAAAGAGAAATTACCTGAACTACTATATGCAAGAGACGCACTGAAGAAACTAAAAGAAAAATGTATTAAATCATGAAACGGGTGTGGTACTAACACAACGAGATAGTTAAGGCCACTAACATCTCATAGTATATTTAAGTAAAAAGTTCAATGAATCCAAAATACATATATATATATAAATTGTACAACAGAAAAAAGATGTGCCAGCAATAATTAAAAATTATAACACTATTTGGATAGACAAAAGTTTTCTATTCAGACAAATCAATTGCTAGATCAAAAGCCAGACTTGTGTGCTGGATTTCAGCACTACAACTGTTTCATTTTAAAATTATGCATATAGCTAGCCCCTGAGAACAAGAATGCAGATGGTCTTAGAGTTCTTAATTTGAATTAGACAAAAATTGATAGCAATATATATGAAAATGTCTTTTTCCCTCATTGCTGTTTAGCATAGTTTCGTCTGATTCTTATGAATTGTTTGAGAAAGAAAATACTAAACATTTTGAATATAACTTATGCACCATTTTCAGTAAAACAGTTACTTGATTAACTAATGACACACATCTAATAATTACGAACATTTGTCTACAACTCACATGGCTTGATTACAGTACTCAGGAGGTAGCGAATAACTTTAAACTTCATCAAGAGAAAAGATACAGGTAACTAAATTGCAAACAGATAATTAATTAGAGATAATTTTACCTCGTCCTGAACCTCCACGAAATCCACCTCGATCACCGCCACGGCCTCCACGAAAATTTCCTCTTTGTCCACCTCTAAAACCTCCAGCACCTCTTCCACGTCCCCCTCTATCACCTCGAGGTGAAAAGCCTGGAGCACCCATAACAATTCAAAAATTGATGATATTAGTTAAAACTTTTACAAATCATCTAAAACAAATGCGGCACTATTATCAGCACGTGCACAACGCAGTAAACAAACGACCATACACACCGGAAAAATATTAAAGATATGGATGCAGTTAAAGTTAAGTTAACTCAATGTTGGATTGAAAAAGATTTGAGTCTAGCTTTTAACCTTTAAACTTCCTTTTGAAATAAACACTAGTTATGAAAAATAAAACACTTTAACTTCAACAGGCAATTAAGGAGAGCAATCTATTCAAACGAAGAATATTTTGAACCAACATTCTCACCGAATGCGATTGTCTAAAATGGTTAGATTGGCTATTTTTTTGCTGAAAAATATATTTCCTCGAGGGCAATCTGTGGTACAGGAACCGCATTCGGCGGGAATACTCTTAAATATAAAAACTTTTGCCACATGCATTGGATGACCACAGTTTTTAATAGGCATGAGGGAGAAATTTTAGGGAATAATTTCGGAATTTTATAGAATTTGTTCTATTTTAAAGGTTAATTATGAATCATGTCAGTTGTAATATAATATGTGCAGTTCGAAAAAAAAACAATTACTTTGAATATATTTTAATCTAATGATCGTACTCAATCTTAATGGTTTGAGTGGGTGACCTCGAATATATTAATTAATTAGTGTAAACCGATATTTTAGTATTGAAATCAGACACTAAAATGCACTTTTTCTAAATAAACATAACTGAAAAGGTATGTTTATTTAGGAAAAGTACGGTACAACCGATTAAAAAATTCGGCGGCTTCCAAAGTTTGAATCACTTATTCTTAATTTTTCCTTTTGCATATTTGCCATCAGTGGTCTGTCCAGGCCAAATTTACTACCGTTTAGGCGCACCTTCACAAATTCGACTTTAGGAAAAACGGTAGTTTCCCAGAATACTTTCTCTTAAAATTTTATTTTTGTATCCCTTAAGAAACGATAAATCTATATTTTGACCATATTTTTATGTTGATTTTTTAATATAATTTTTAATTTTTCACAAATTATGTCTAAATTATCACAAAATAGGTACCTCTCAGAAAAACCTAGACAGACCCCTGGCCATATCTCAAGAACTTAGGAGATTTCACAAATTTTGCGCACAATTATTACATTCGTTTATATAAAAATAATTCAGCTCAGAATAACAAATCACTTCAGCAGTGCAGTAAGAACGACACTTTAAAACCCTCTTGTTACACTCAATTTGCGCTTTTGTTTTCATCTTTTGTTTTCATATTTTGTAATCTGGCAATCTTTCTGCGAAAACATTTATAAATCATTCTTGAAATATTTTCTGTCCTTGTAAGTTGATCTGATTTTGCTACTCGCTTTATAGTCCCTTATAAATGTTTTTTATTTTATTTTCTGTTTTTACATGCTATTTTTACTTTTTGTGATCTTTTTTATTTGTTGTTATTTTTATAAAAAAAATTTTTGAGTGCTCCTCACACTATTGTATTTTTATATTTTGCTTTGGCTTTATTGATACAATATCAGAAAGCACTCTGTTTTGCGGATATAATCGTGTGGGCTGAAGAAAAGAT